CTGGGCTCATCAGTGGCTTCACCTGGGGCAGTGATTAAAAGCAAGGGGGTGGTGGAGGAGGATGAGGGGAGTAGTGGTGTGTTGTGTGTGCTGCTGAAGTAGAACTGTGGTATTAAAAAAGAAAAAAATAATGAAAATATTTTACCAGTAGGATTTTTTTTTTTCTCAAAGAAGTTAACTGGATCAACACCTGGGAGGATAGTGGGGAGGCAAAGGGAAGTTGGTCTGCTTGAGGACTGTGGTGAAGACACAGACTGGGAACAGGTTACTGCACAGAATGGGACGCCCAGAGCTTCAGGAACATCTACCGCACTGTTGCTGGCTGCATGTGTCACCTCAGGTAAGTGACATGTAATCTGCACGTGTGTCACAGTGTTAATGGGGTGCCTGACAGAGGAAAAAGCTGCTTGAATTCTGGAGCAAAATGAAAACCTTCAGAGAACTACCCAAGGTACAGGGCCAAGGTGCCTTCACGATGCGTCTGCAGTAACCCCATGGAGCTGAAACTGAGTAGAGGTGGTGTTGAGAACCGTGGCTGAGGCTTTCCAGAAATTCTAGTATTGCCTCCTACTTTCAGTGCCCTCTTGGCCTTAAAAAAAAAAACCCACCTTCAAAGACAGTAGGAGTTTTTCATATGTTAAATAGTAGTAAGTGGGAGGACTTCTCTGGCTCCTCCAGCCTGGCAGTGTAACGCAGTGAGAACCCTTGTAGCAACCCTGGGAGAAGCAGGAACTGCAAATAGCTTTCTCCTTTGCTGGGCCGCTTGTTTATTTCCCTGGTGCCAGATCGTTTGGCAGGGAAAAGGGCCAGGAGTGTTTGAGGGAAGTCTGGGCGATGGGCGTTTGGAATATGCTGTTGTGAAAGCGTCTCGGCTTCTCCAGGGGCTTTTGGCAAAGGGCTGGGAAGCAGTTTACGAACATCAGCTAATTGGAGGCTGTAAATAAGAGAAGTTTGCTGGAGAAAAGGCTTTTCGTTGTGAAAGGCCTGATCTATTTTCATAATCTGAGAGGCAGAGGTTAATGGGTGAAGGCGGTCCTGCTGTGGGCTGACATTCCCTCAGGAATTTTTAGCCCATAGCAGCACAGGGAGCGTGGCCATGCTACTCCTAGAGACGTGCGAAGGTGAGGACAAAATGTCAGCCAGGGAGGTCGGTGGCTCTGCTATAACATGGGGCGTAAGGAACAGCAAAAGGTGTCCCTCTGCGGTGAGCAGGCAAAGAAATAGTCCTCTGTGTGTGTGCGTAGCCCCTGTCCTCGGACAGGGAGTGGGCACGGGAAAGAGTTCAGTTCACAGAATGATATGGGGTTGGAAGGGACCTCTGGCGATCATCTAGTCCAACCCCCCTGCCAGAGCAGGTCCACCCAGAGCAGGTTGCACAGGAACGTGTCCAGGCTGGTTTTGAATGTCTCCAGAGAAGGAGACTTCACCACCTCCCTGGGCAGCCTGTTCCAGTGTCCTGCCACCCTCAAAGTAAAAAAGTTCCTCCTCATGTTTAGGTGGAACTTCCTATGTTCAAGTTTGTGCCCATTTCCTCATGTCCTTTCCCTGGGCACCACTGAAAAAAGACCATTGGGGCCTTTTCCATTGGGGTCACTACAGCAAACACTGTGCCAGCCTCTCCTCCCATCTCCTGGTATCTGTGCAGAGAACAGCCCCAGCTCGTCTGCAACGAGGGCTGCTGTTTCAAATGAGCAGTATCTGACTTTTAATGAATATGCGCCTGAAAGGAGTATTTGCATCTTATTTTAGGGTGCTGATTACTTTAGTGCTAGTTGTGAGATGTGGACTTGCTTTGACCAGTAGCTATTTCTCCTGAGTGTCTGGAACTCCAGCTTTACCAAGTGACCCGTGCTTGGGAATGGAAAAGCGACTGGGTAAAACTGGGCTGCGAACAAAAAATGTAACCTTTTTCACTGCTGTTTTCCTCTGTTTCTACCGAAGTGTAGCCCTACTTGATGCACAGGGGTCCCAGGCAGCAGCTGAGGAGGAGGAGGCCATGTGCTTCCTCCCATGTTCCGTACATCGTGCGCTGCTGCCGAGTGGGATACAGCGCTCGTACATTCCCTCACTTCAGCAGTAAATGCCTTTTTGCTGGCAGGATGCTTAGCGCCACTTCATCCCTTGCCTTCAGTGCCCTCACACGCCTAAAGCTTTACAGGCTTCAAGGTTACACACACCTTTCACAAGTCCATTATGCTCCACAGCTGGAGAAAATCAGACTCTTGAGCTGCCGGCGCGCACACAGCTGACCGGGAAAATGTCTGCGCCGCTAAACAGCCAGTTTCATTTTTGATCTCCTGTCTAGATCCTTATCTGATGGTATCTTTTGGCCTTGAAACCACAGAGGCCCTTCCAGCGCAGCCACCCCAAGCCCAGCGCCGGTGCTGAGGTGGTGAGGGAAAGGGAAGGCTCTGGAGAAGCGAGGAACCCACACACCTCATGGCAACAGGTTTTGGTGCAGGATGCGGAGCCACAGGCCGCTTTTAAGGCACTTGGTTATTACTTTTTGGTGAATGCACCTCTCATAAATGGCTTTGAAGTTTTGTTTTCTGACCCAAAATACTCTCTTTAGCAGCTGTAAAACACCTGCTTAAAAATGAAGGTACTTAATTTGGATAACACTTAATGAAAAGCAGCAGGGCCCTCCTGCCTGGGCCCCTGGTGGCAGTGTTCCCCTGGGCTCAGCTGTGGGATGTCAGCAGATCCTCGGTGGCCCGTACTCACCACGGCTGCAGGGAACCAGTGACAGCTGTTCTGGTGCAATTCTACAAATTCAGCAAAACAGCAACGATGGGGTGATGGCCCGTGGGGACTGTCACTGAAGGAAAAGGGGAGTAACCACAAGGAGCCAAACTAAAGGACCAGTACCACCCAGTGAGATGCTTTTAATGGAGTCAGGGGGAGCTCAGTCTCAACGGGACCTTAAGGAAACACCTTGCCCTGTGTGAGCACAGAGCAAGGCTCCTGAGAGAAGTCAGCGGGGACACCTGTGCTGATGCCTCACACTCCATCCTCCTCACACCTTTTGGGTGGGGGTGGTGGTGACAGGACACTGCAGTATCACCTGCAGGCTACGCTGGAAAGGAGATGGTCTCTGCGGCCTGGGTTTAAAAATACAAGCTAACTCCTCTTTCATTTGTTTTTTTTCTTTCTGAAAGAGCTGCCCTTCCGGCAGTGCAGAACAGCAAGATGTGTGTCCTGGGTCTCGGGCTGCTGACAGCAGCCACCAGTCAGGATCAGCTGGGCAAAATGGCCTTCGCAGCCGTGAGAGATGCTTCCTGCTCTCCATGAATGAACCCCACTGTTACAACCAACCAAGCATTAACTGAGTCTTAAATAGCGTCTCTAGGAAAAAAATATAACACACTCGATAATCATCAAGTTTGTCAGGGTATTTACACTTGCTTCTAACTATAGTCTGTTATTTTGGTGACAATGTTTGCCAAACCGTACGTGACAGTTCATCACAGGCTGCTTGAATTCTAGCTTTTCCTTTCCAATGGAAACCTGCAACAGGCTATTTTAAGACTTTCCTCCTTTCTGTGTAGACTTCTGCTAAAGGAAACAGTTTGTTCTTTCCTTCTATCTGTCTCTCTTGGAAACTCCCTGGTGGACGTGCCAACCAAGGCTGGGCTTAGGCTGGCCTGCTCTCAGGGCAAGGTCCTGTGCACTGCTGGCTTCTCTCCTGCTCTGGATCCACGTGGATCATGCAAGGAAATGTCCTTCTGTGTTCTGCGTGGACTGGACTCTTTGATTCAGCTTTCATGGAAAAAACACTCCAGCTGGAGACATAATGTGGACCTATTTGTATCTGAAGGTTGCTGAGGTGCACATGAAGAGCGCAATTTAGAATCATAGAATTGTCTAGGTTGGAAAGGACCTTAGAGATCATCTAGTCCAACCTAACTCTGACAAAAAAATAAATAAAAAGAATCACTACACAGAGCAAGCAATTTAATTTAACTTCAATGGCAGGAAACCTTCCTGAGGAGCCCAGGACCAGGAAAGGAGGTGACACAGAGGCAGTGTGTCTGCAGCATCACTGTATCCCTGTCTCCGCAGCGCCTCAGGCTGACCCTGTAGGTGGCTACAGCCCTGACTTTTTTGGAAGCAAATGGAAGACACTAGTATTTACAGCTTTTCAGAGCTTAGGTTTCACATACTCAATTACTTTCTTAAGAGCAGAGAAAGGTGCAGCACTCAGACTTACTTCAGTGATCAAAGAAGGATTAAGAAAAGCTGGACACAGCTGCTGTAGCCTATCCTTTTAGGTGATGCTCTTGGAGAAGGCACCAAAGCTCCTGTGTCTGTCAGGAGAAGCAGCTGTCACGGGCTTGGTGGCAGCTTCTGGTACTGCTGCCTGTAATAATTTCCATCTCGTTAACCCAGATGGAAATACCTAGTGTATTTTATCTTCAGGGCAAATGCTTTAATCGCACATAGTCCATCAATGCAGCTTCATCTGAATAAAAACTGTGCTGTTGAGTTCCATCCAGGCCCTGTCTGTATCTGTTTTAACAGCATATATACTTGAAAATGTCTCTTGTTCAGACACTGGTGTGGCTATGTATAAACTCCCAAGTACTCCCTTCTCTATGTGAAAGAGCCAGCTTTTCTGTTCAGGTTTCATTGAGTGAATTGAAGGGGTACAGGGAAAACTCTAACAAGGCAGGACAAGCTGTGATGTCCACATAACCTGAACAGACCAAAAGTGACAAGGAAAGAGAGGTTAAGTTTCAGTTTCCCCTCACCGGTTAAGGGATTAGACTGTTGTAATAGTGAAATTTTACTGCATCTTGATTAATATAAATTTATTATCAAGACTACTAACATGAGGGGACAGAAATTAAGACTGCAATGACTGGCTTAGAAAGGATAGAGACCATTACAAAGTCTCAAAAATCTACCTTGATCCTTTCAGGTAAAGATGAGGCAGACTTCAAAATTGAGTGTCATTTTTATGTTCTCTGGGAGTTAAAAATGCATCTTAACACACATGCTTTTAAGTTTTCCCTTATTTATCAGCAGACATAGTTCAAATACAAAAATCTCAGCATCTTTTAAGCCATTTTTGCTTTGCTTTTGTTAGCTTTTTTCCCCAGCAAGTCTTACCTTCTTCTGTTTGGATGCAGCAGACCTGCTTGAACTGCTACCTTCCGTATTTACTGCCTGGAATACGCTTGTGTCTCTTGGTCAGGCAACAGCAGGGACTTTAAAGCTACAGGGATTTGGCCTTGTTATAACCTTGTGCTTCAGCAGCCTTTAAGTGTCTTAACAGACCCTTTTCACGCTGCCTACAGTTTAACAATAGGTTATTCTTTCTGAAAGTGTAGGGGACTATGGCTCGGTTTTAACAGATCAGGATTCAAGAATTTACTGAGTGTTTTCCCAGAACCCTCCTCTATTCTCACAAAGAATTTTAATCTTAATATTAGTCCATTGCCTAAAACATCACAGAATACTTCCTCGCTATTATTCCCATCCCAAATACTTGTAAGAAAGCAGCTTTTTAAGAACAGCATGTTTTCACTCTTTGCATATTTGCTACTACAGGTTGCTTATCAAGGAAAAGAGCACCAGCAGAGCACTCTTTTTGCTGCCATACTCATGCTTTATTTGGAAAAAAAAAAAGCTACACAATGCTAAGAAAAAAAAAAATAAATCAAGTTTACTTTACAAAAAACCTGCAGCCATTTTCAAGAGATCTGATCTCACTTATAAATGAAAGTCAGCAGGTAAGAATAAATGTTAATTTAACATTTCAGTTGCAGTACATCATCTGAACTTAATCATCCAAAACAACCAGTCATTCATAAACTGACTGTTGATTGTATCTACACAAACAATCATCTATAACACTTGATTAAAAAAATCCCTGGGAAAATTTAGAGATAAATGGAAAAATGTCAGAAGAAGGTTATTTAGCCCACCTATAAACTCTTGCAGAAACTGAAAGATCTTTCTGGCTTTGCTCTCCTCTGTAAGGTCACTGCAATTCCTCTGTGTATTTAAACAAAGTCTTACCAAAAAGCTACAAAATTCTGTTCAGTGAGGGGATTAAACAGGAATCTATGGAGTTGCCATCAAGTTACATTAGTGCTATGTCGTCTTATTATCTCCATGAAGTATATTGTGCAAGTATCAAGTAACTTCAAAACACTCCTGAAACAGCCCTTGTGTCACTCCTATGAGGTAGGTACTGTCCTTCCTTTGACGAAGAAAAAGAGAACAGACTCTCAACTGCTGCTCAGTACATCAGGCACACTGAAAAACAGGACAACTAGCCTATGTCACTATTTGACTTTCCTGCTGCTTCCCTGAATTCAGAGCTTTCCACTGCAACATTTTATTTAGCACCATGCACTCCCAGAATAAACAGTGAATGATGCTTTTGATTATATCCATTCCAGGGTAAGGAAGATGTTCAGCGTAACTGTTTTGAGACAAGCAGAAGCACTGCCATCACTAGTCTGCTCCATTCACCTCTACAGTCTACAATTTAATTATTTCTTATATGAAGACCAGAGATGACACTTCATCCTTTAGCCTGACACCAGCCACTCTTCTCCCTCAGATAAAATGATACTGGAAAAAAAAATGAACATCTGTCACAAAGCAGATACAGAGGGTCACAACTACCAAATGCAGCTCCCATGTAGCAAAGTTAATGCTCTGCTACCACTATGGACATGAACTCTAATGCAGTTTTTCTTACCTCAAGTACAGACTCAACAGGTCTTGACAATTTTTTGAACTAGTTAAGGAGCTGAGAGAAAGGAATGAATAGCAGTCCTTCACGCTAAGGCCAGTTTATTTGTGGTCTGAAACCATTTTAGCATCTCTCACTAATATAAGGAAGAAACCCCAGTTCACATCTTCTTTCAGTCCTTGCTTCTCATAACCTCACATGAACAGCATGTGGTAGTGCAATAAGCTTGCTGAAAACTGAGTTGGGAAGAATGCTGGATTATAGAAATGCTTGTGCTACAAAATGGAAAGGGATGGCATAGAGACAGGCAGAATTGCTGCTTGTTCCATCTTAAAGTCAACAGAACTATACCCTACTCAGCCAATAATAACAATGACATCCAGTAACGTACCTGTGACACTAAGCTATCTATTTGTTTAAAAACTGAGTAGAAAATTTAAGTACCAAAATAAAAGTTCTTAAACAGGATAAAGCAACAACTGTGTTCTCCTATTTGAAGAAATCTGAGTGTAGTAGGCTGGCTTATTCACTAGAAACACCCTAAGACGTGCCAAAGTTCAATTACCACTACACACCAGAATGTTATTGCCAAGTTTCAACTATAGCAAAACAACAAGACACAAGGAATTCAAAACTGTTACTTCATTTATCATGAGCAGTAGGGGACTGCTGGCCACTGCTCTTATGTACTGCTTGTGACTGAGAAAATTCCTATGAACCATCCACAGTGAATGCCAAGTTGTAGGATCAGAAAGACAGTCTGGTACAACTGGACTTTCCCATTGCTAGTTCCTATGCAGGTTGCTGAAGTCTCCTCTCTTCTTTCATGCTTAGAGCTTAAGCATTTGGATGTCAACCACTGCGTGGGGGGAAGAAAGCTGAAACCTTCGTATACTTATTTGTACAGTGCTTCAGTCCTTCAGCTTCTCTTAAGTCCTGGTCAGTGTAAGATTTCTAAAGGCCAAACTTGCTCCAAAACTCAACCAGTTAGGGCTAAACTATCTGAGCAAATTATATCAGGATATTACAAATTAATATCCTCTGTTCTGATCTTCTTTTTTCCTGGAGTACCACTGTATCTAGAGCAGGTCTCATAATTCCTCTCCCCCACCCCCTCCCCAAAAGAGTACCTTCCTATCTTGGGAAGAACTAGAGCAACAGTTTAAGATTGCCCATTAGGAGAAGGTGAAAACAACCAACCAACCAACTTCCTTGATTTCAGGTTAGAGACATTACCCAAGAGAGGGAACTTAAAAGTTCAGTAGTTCAGGTGCTGCAATAGCTATAGGGCTTTAGCATACAAAGCATTTAATACATAAACACTTTGTTGGATCAATGCAAGTTTGAATATAAGCCCATAAACCTAACCCAGAACCAGTGGGATAACATCAGTAAAGGCAAACAAAGTTGTTCCCCTCAATTTGAGCAGAGATACCTCCTTATGGAGACAGCATTCAACTGTTTGCCAAGTGATCCGTATGATGATTCAGCAACCTTAACTACTAAAAATATTCTGCCTGGGCTAGCTGCATTATCAGGAAGTTAAACAAAGCATTTTGGAGGTTGCTTTTCCTAGAGGAGTCAAGAACATCTTCACAGTTCATTCTGGCAAAGTGTATAGTAAAATAGTGCCAGTACAGGTAGTTTCAGAGCTCAGATGCTTCAAACACGCTATGACATGATATCTAAGTATTGCTCAGTGTTCATTGGCTCAGAAGCTCAGTCCCTGCAGAGCAAATACAGATCTGAAAGAGCAATTTCATACATGGGAATCAGGAAGGGGAAGAAAAGATGACATCAGAGGTCTCCAATCGATGCCTCTTCCTGAACTCAGCAAGCTTCCAGATAACCTCAGACATGGGAAGGGATGCAGCTGAGATACAAACAGCTCAAGCCTTGTCCAAGTGCTCAAATGGCAGTAAACTGTCTTTTTTACTGTCAGTCAAATTCCTGAATGCAACAGATGTGAATTGGTACCTGGTAATCATGTGCCTACCACAAAAGAAAATCCCATTTTGATTGCATATAGCTTTTCTGCTTTAGTATTAAACATGTATCTAATAATGATATGCATATGTGTTACTGGTAGGAAAGACAAGGTGATAAAAACCCCCAAACCCTCAGATCAACATACTGACCAGTAAAAAGAAGTTTGAGATTTAAAAACCGTAAAGGGTGACTTGTTTGCCATTTAAAAGGATTATTTGAAGCTAACGTTTTTTCAAATTCAGTCTCAAGAGTGTACAGTAAATGCAAAGTCCCTGCCCCATGTAAAGCTTTAAGTCCCCATTTTGATACATATGACATTCTAGTTTTTGTAAGACAACCAAGAACTTACTGAAAAGCTGTTCTGACTCATTCAATTTCTTGAGTAAACATTGCAGAGCTGCCACTATAATCAGAATACTTAAGCTGCTGGCATGACTCAATAACTAACCATTTAACAAGTTGGGTATAAAAAAAATTTATGTAGTAATACCAATTCAGCACACAAACTCCATGCTTCACAAGTTCTGCTGCTGTGTAAGAGTCTTCCTAACATCTACGCAGATAAGTTCAGATTTTTAGGTCACTGCATGCCCAGATCAAACCAGCAGCAAAATATCTACCGCTACGAGCAGCTATACCCAATTGTGCCTTTAGAATGCAAACTATGCAGAAATCTAGATGATCAGTGCCTTGCCACTGAAATAGGACCACACACACAAGCTTCAGTGTGTGCACACTGGAGAGAATAAAGTTACTTACTGAAGAAAAATGTGTACAGATTCTGATACAGACGTGATACAATCAAGACAGATTAAGTCACTAGACGTTCAGATTAGGGGGAGGAGAAAAATCCTTCGAGGACAGTGTACAGATGACAAGCCAGCATTACACAGAACTCTAAAGGCACATTTCGGGTAACATGTTCTGTTAAGACCAACCGCTTACACACGCAGGCACAAATCTTAATGGCTACCTCTCCCCCCACCCCCCAACAATTAACAAAAAAAAAAAAAGAAGTGCATTTTCAGTAATATTAACACCATTCAGTTAATCTGTTCAGTCCAAATGTTTAGCTGTATTTTCCTTATGGTGATATGGATTCTCTGCACTACTCCGATCCAAAAAACCCAAACAGGCAGGATTAGTAAAGGTTCAACTGTTGCACTAGTAAACATTTACTCATCAGAGCCCGCTGATCTCTTCTGTGCCCTCTTGTAGGGCAACCTCCTCGGTGAAGCTTTATCTAGATTAAAAAAAGAAAAAAGAAAGTTGCAATAATTGCCACAGCTAGTTCAAATTAGATGTTGCATGACCATGTATTTTTCTCTCTCCCAAACACAGGCCAAACTGCCTTTTGAGTACAATGCATCACCACAGAGAAGTGAGTTCAACCAACTTTAGGCTTTTTAACTATTAGCATCCTAAATAGAAGGTAACAAAAAAGAATGTTCCTAAGCTGTAACATGCAACTCCAGGGTGAGGGTTATTCAATTTGTAAGCTACTAAAATGCAGAAAACCACCCAAAACATCAAATCCAACACCATTTCCTGACAAAACTGCATGCTCCGCTGTTTAGAAAAGTTTCATGTTCAATAATTAAACTTCTAGAAAGTTAATTGATTATTTGATCATTACTGGTTGGAGTTTACCTGCCTGAAGAAATATGTGATTTACCCTCCTTTAGTCAGCTTTGTCTTGCATGAAATATTTCCACATTCATGCAGATTAACAGCAGAAGTGCTTTGGTTGTGAAAAATGCACATTTTTCTGGGAAGCATCTACATTTGACTATGAAGATGTCATTTTGTAATCAAATATCCCATATGGGGAAGCCATCCAGCTCTAGCTGTATGATCACTGGATGTCAGAAGCATCATCCTACATTTAAGACTTTGACAGGCCTATAATTGTCCTTTACATAGGCAGAATTTTATGTCCTTCCGTAGGCAGAATTTCAATCCTTGTAATATTGTAGAGAAGCTATAATACTTTCTATGAAGTGCTAGAGTGATTGCTAAGGGTATCTGTTGACTTAAAAATGCACATTTTCTTAAGCAGCACCATCTTCAAACACTTGGTTTGTATGTGCAAACACAAGGAACAGCCATCATGCCATTACAAGTCAATCAGTACAGGATGAAGTGTCTTTCAACAATAAAGTAGTCAAGAAGTAGTGAAACAAGATGTGCTCAGCCATCACAAGAGGGGTGAGCCTCCACTGAGAGGATCTGTCCTCCACCTCCCTCATGTAACATCAGCTTGATACTACACCAAGGCAGGAGGGAGGGCAAGATGCTCATCTATGTTTTACAGAAAAGGTTCTGGGAGCTATTAAAGGAGACAACGGTACTTCAGCAATAATTGACTGAAACTATTTTACAACAATATAACTAGGAATAATACATACACAAACATTTTCATATACCAAAACATCAATTTATATGCAATGCATATAAAATGTGATTGTGTGGTTGTGTGCATCTGTTCTGTAATGTTTTACTGCTCATGCTGCAACACCCATCACTGCATGCAGGAAACTGTACTTCTATCCATGCTTAATTATCACATGGACACACTCTTTATGATCAACAGGGCTTGCCTCACCTCTTCTACTCTGCACTGAAGCCATCGGAAAGCAAAACAGAAGAAACAGCAAGAGAAGTTAGAAATATCCACAAACACACAAATGGTCTACAGGAAACAGGTATGTGGTTTACTGCTAGCATTTCAGATATCAAGTAGAACTTAGTCATTTTGGGATTTGTGAAGAACACTAATATCTAGTCTTATCATGGCCAACTGCCAAACAACTTACAGAAACTTTGAGAAGACATATTTTGTCCTACTTAAATTTCCTTTGTGATCCAGGTTTTGAGTAGAGGTTTTATACTGTTGAAAAAGACTCTACAGAACAAATTGTAAGTCACCAGTAATCATTATTGTATCAACCAGGGGAGTTTGTTTTATTCAAAAATAGGCTGCTAATGTAATAGTTTAATCATTAAACATAGTGCTTTAGACAGTTTTTCATTCCCTAGAAGAGATGTACGCTGTTCTGAGAAATTGATCTCAGCTACTTACTCAGTTACAACTAATTGATTAAGTAATTGTTATTCTCTAGTTTGTGGAAGGCAGACTACTTACTTATTTGATTTAAAGTTTCTTGGGGAATCCAGCTCATATCAACATCATTCTGATTTGATGTTCCCATCTCTACTTTCTGTACTGGTCTTTTCCTCTGCAAATTCAAGAAAGAAGAAAGATTTTTCTTTCCACAGAGTTTTGACAGCACAAGTATTAGAAGTAACTAATAGTGGTATATTTAATGAATTGCAATTATTTCACTAGATCACAAATTTAAGGCTAGTCAATGCATGAAGCTGTCTTTGTAGCTTAGTTTTAACTATCTTTACCATTAGCAATTTATTTACCTCAGCGTTATCACTTCTAATGCCTTGCAATACTTATTCTACACAAAGATACTAAGATTTCACACGCATGGGCAAGTTCATTATACCCGTTACGAAAAAGGGCCAATGATTAATCAAACTTTGCAGTGACTGGTTTTATTATACTTTCTCAGATCAGCACAATGTTCTCATATGTCACCTCGCAAAATAGATTTCACAGCACAATAATCATGACATACTTCTTCCCAAGGGAAGCTACTTCAGAAGGATAGTACACCAGACCGTACAAAGACATAGCCTGTGCATTGCATCCAGATGAGACTTCAAGCTTTCAACAGCTTTTACTTGCCCAGCCACTTATACAGACAAACCATTAGCCATTATAGCATTATAAACTGAATCCAGAAGGCCAGGTAGTCAACATCACAGCAAAGCAGTGGTAAGAACTAAGTAAAGGACTAGGCAGCAGTGTTTCCCCAAGTTTGACCTAGATAAAACTAACAGATCAAAATAGAGAGCACGGGGAAAGTCTACCCAATAAGTACTGAATCAGTAGCTGACATATCAACCACTTCAGTATGGTGCCAAAAAGCAGAACCAAAGAGCATTAGGTAAGCAGTCTAAATGTCACCAATTATGAGCATTTTTTAAAAACACGCCTGGTTTTACCAATAATCTAAGGTCTTAGGTCTAAATGCAAGTCTTCTAAAGTTCTACCTGTGCTTATGTATGCCAGAAGCAGTTACTGAATGTCTTTATTTTCATATCAGTAAGGTCTTGTATTAACAAGTACATAGAAAAAACACACTACTCACCTTCCTAGATTCTAGTAACTGATGTAGGCCAACAATAACAAGTAGACCAAGTCCAGCGAGGAACATGTACATGAAGATCCTTTAAAAAACAGTTTAAGAAACTATTAGCTAAAAATCTTAAGTGTTTAAGAGTTTACAAAAATGCACAGAAAGTAAGCTGAGCTAGGCTTTGGCCAGATGTCCACTTCATCTTTCCCAAGAACTTCTGTAGGTGGGTGGGGAAAAAACCCCAATGAATCTGAAACTGAAGTGCTAACAACTATTATTCTGACTTTGATTTCAGAAACTGTAATCCTAAACTTAAATTCTCAACAACAGAACATTTAAAAAATGTAGTATAAACTGGGAAATTATTACAAAGAATTAACAAAATATAGTATCTGCAAGAACTCTTTTGCATTATCATGTTTCAAGACATTGGGTCACAGTTTATATTTATGTTTGTGACAGCTTTAACCATTTACAAAACCCGTAAAAAAAAAAATCTATTATATGCTTTTAGAATGCTACTGCAAAGCAAGTACTGCTACGATACCAATTTATTGCCAAAAGACCTTTGAAAGGCTTTGCTTATCTTGCTCTGTGTTCCACAGTTAAAATTCTGCCAATGCAAAGAATCCTTTTTTTTTTTTTAAATCAGTGCATTTTGGTTTGTGTTGAAGAATTCTACCTGAAATACTTGTTGATACTTAGCAAGAGGTGAACATAAATAATATCTAAAATTAATTTGGGGAACCAAGCAGGAGTTTACTGGTAAATAATCTATTCCAAGTTGAACATCTTAGCTCAGATTTATAACAAAGGAAATAACAGTTAAACTACAGAAGAGACTTAACCAAACATCCTTGTTTTAGGGTAATTACCTATTCACATTAACTCAGATTGGTTCTAATAATTTCAATTCTTTTGATAGTTACTTTATCAGAGCATCACATTTTTATGTGACAAACTGTTCCATCGTTGATGCTATTGTATCTGAGAAATACAAATCAATGGAAATTTCTACCTGTGGCAGAAGAACTCCAATATCCAGCATCGTCTACAACTATTTCTGAAGGTCTTTTTTCATTTAAACTCACAGGTTCTCTTAAAATTCCACTCCAGTGTTAGAATACTTACAAGCATATAAACACAGCATAGGCTTGCAACATGTAAGATGTCAGATGTACTTAGTCTTTAAGAGAGACAAAACCACTCCTAAACTGTGCCTGCTACAGATAGGGGTTAAAGTAACAAAGGAGAAGGGCGAGTTTCTCTATTTTATACTCCAAATGCATCCTACAGTTTATATGAGCTTGGATTATAGAGGACTGCTCCAGAAGCAAGTTATTCCAGTCTTCCCAGTAAGACTCAAAGCCCAATACTATCGTCCCTCTGCATCTTTAACTCTCAGGAAAAAGCACAGTAGCATATCAAAAGCCTGACAGCTTTGAATTGCTATGTAGCTGTATAACATCAGCTCCTATTCCAGGCTTAAGCCCTTGGAGCTAAAGTACATGTGTAAACTGCTCATTGACACAGTACCAATTCTGAAGCTACATAATATTAATACAAATCTTAATTTGGGGGAAAAGTTTGTGTTTTCAGTCTATCAACAATACACAGGTTAAATGCCTGCTACATCATCAGCAAAACAAAGCAGACTTTATGGGTTTTTGTGGTGTGGTTGGTTTTTTTTCCCCATTGTGTTTGGACTCAATGATCTCAAAGGTCCCTTCCAACCATGAGGATTTTGTGATTCTGTAAAATGAGGATTTAAGAACTATTGTTACTGGCCCCATTAATAACCCATTGTACCAGTACACCAACTAAACTTGAATCTCCAGCCTCCTTACGTTTCTCCATCCAGCCCATCTTCTTTTTCAATAATTGTAACAGTTTGATTGAAGACAGCATCTTGAAACACATTGCCCTGTAACAAAGTTTCCACAAAACATTTAGAAGTCAGTTCTTGAACACATACACAAATGTTTGTCTTCTTCCATGTTCTTGGAAAGAGACAAGAAAGCAAGCAGTATCTCCTGCACGAGACTTGATTAAGTTTGCAAGCAGTGCAAGTTTGACTCAAGATACAAAAGCAAACTTTTTGATGCAAGTACAAAGAACAGTCTTGGTATTATTGTGAAAGTTATAGCTGGCCTTGAAGATGTTATTTCCTATAGCACAAGACATACTGCATATGAAGGTTTCTTATCAGAATAATCAAACCACAAGGGTATAGAAGCATGTTAAACTTTGACCTGCACTAAAAGAGAAAAGAATACCCTATTTAAATACCCACTTATGCTTTTGGATAGTCTTCCCCAAGACTGCTACTGCTAGTGATTTATTTGCTCCAAGTCAAGTTTGCAGATAGGATTTAGGCTGATTGCAGATATTAGGCTGATTAAGTTTGTCAGCAATGCCCAATAAGAAACGTAAAATGAAATTTAGGCTATCCTAAAGAAACATTTAGTTTGGGTTGGTTTTTTTTAAGTTAGTAGAGCCCACTACTACACAGTTTGATGCATTCTAGGTTCCACCGCTGACATAACTTCAAATCCAATGTATTCAGAATTAAGTGTACGTAAGGGGCTATTGTGAAACATGTAGACAGTCACTTACTGTACTTATGTATCTACTGATTTGCTTAAAAACCACAAAAACATTGACTGTCCAAAGAGGGAGTAACTTGACTAAGCAGTTCCTTCCTGAAATTTCCACATCAACGAGAAAGATTAAAATGAATTACAACATGAGGCTTACATTTACATCTCTGTAGTTGAGATTGATAACTAGGCCAAAAGGACGACCGCCCATAGGCTCAGCAGGGATGAAAGAGTACTCAAACGTGGCTTGTCTCTGGGGTGGAACCACCGTATTCAGAGGGAGAGCCGTGAAGTTCTGGATATAAAACTGGTAATCTTGGGGATACCGGAAAGAAGCATCCAGAGACTCGACAATGAAATCCTCTGTACCCTTATTGGTGAAGCCCACCAGGAATTTTACGATGTTGTTCGCTGGAAAGTCTAAAACAAAAGATATTCAACATTAAGAGCTCCATACACCACATCTAGCCATTTCTAAATGGAGAGTGTCTAGAACAGATTCTGGCTTTTTAGAGCTTTGCTATTTTATGCACACATTTATATAATTAGCCTAAGCAACATAAAGAAGATAGTAGAATAGCACAGGACTCTTACCTTCGCCTTTCACAAATAAGATTGTTGTATCAGCACTAGGTGAGGCTTTAGGTTCTCCTGACAAGTCCTCCTCTTCTTTTTCTTCTGTCTAAGACAAGAGACTTTTTTGAAAAATCCTATAATGAACAGTGAAGCAAAGACCGTGCTTGTTTCACAAGAATCCCAGGTGTTAAAGCTTGCCACAGTGGCAAGCACTGGTACCAATTCCTGCTGTTGCAGAATTAGCGCATAGTCTGTTCTCCCTGTAGATTTGATTCGCATCATTTTCAGCATTTATCCTTCTACTAGTTACATTTGATAGAGTGACTAATCTCAGCTGCATTTAGCTGTATTGAAAGGTTTCTGATCAGAAATCAACAGGAAAGTCTCTGTTTGGGGGTGGAAGGAAAAGAATAGAATTTAAATGTTAAGTGTCCGCATCTAAGCTATTTCTATTTCGAAAGCAAGCATTTTGCAAAGTTACAGACAACCATAAGGCAAATGAGTTACTTTCCCTGCTGAGCATGTGTTTATAGAAGCTTTGCTATTCAGTTTTAATTAGTTAAGTATTAAGTATGGAAATAGACTGTTGAAACTAAGTTAGTTCGTGGATTCACTTGTTCAAGCTCACCTTTGTGATGATTCACTTTGTAATTTGGAAAACACACGTATTAAGGGCTTATTTTCCACATGGGGATCACAGGAACACCACCTCCTCCACCAAATAAAAACAAGGCTGACCCCATTTTGAACTGCCTGAACTAATTGCTTGTGAGTTAACTAGATCATTTGACTTCACTGCTTAGACAACTACCTGAAGCAGTAGATAGCCTAGTGGATCAGTTGTACACATACCATGATCTAGGGAAGCCACAAACCAGAACCAAACACTTAGCATCTTGATTTCAAGATGCTACGCAGAACTGTATCTTCTGTTTCAGTGACAAATAAGAGAAAAGCCTAAAAAGTGCAATGTTTTGTGCCTGAGTCACAGACTATTTATTAAAAGCAAATTCCATCCAAAAGATTATTTAATAATATTCTGTCAGTACGGAATAGCTAGCATACCTTCTACCACTTAAGAAAACTGGTTGACCATTAAGCTCATCAACATCAGTAAAAATCTAGTAGAATCAAAGAACAGTTTACCAGGTCTACATTTTTATGTCTTCTAATAAAGTCCCAAACTTCCTAATTTTACATCAGAAATGCGAGAACTTTTTGTACCAATTCAAGTACTCCAACTGTCTAGCAAGCCTAATGCTACTCTAATGCTACAAGCAGACCACATAACTACATAAAGTATCTCACTTTGTCAAGCTGAAAACAAGTGACCTCAAACAGCAAGATGGCCACTGGTATAACAGGCATACCCTGCAACAAGTGTCAGAGACTAGGAATGTAGTAAGTGAAAACAGGCTGTAAAACCAAGCTTTTCAGAATACTGAGCTTAACTATGAACTAAGGTTCTGTTTCCCCTTGAAAATCAATCCCAAAGAAGCCCAAATGATGTAGTCCTATACCCCAATGTTCTCAGTTGACCAAGATGCAGCTTATGCTGGAAGAGAACTGCATGGGGCTCCTATGAGAATCTGGTTCTCTCACTTGGTGTTCTTTTTTGTGAACTTCAGGTTTAGTAGTCAGAAATCAGGCTGTCCCCATGTGATTTTTCAGATGGTAATTCAGGAAAAGACGACAAATCCTTCTAAAACTTCAAATGGAACATAAGTTTAATGGGAGACTTTGAGACAGCTGTTTGGAAATAGCAATGCTATTAAACTCATATTTAAATACTTCTAAACTATCTAGCTTCAAGTCCTTTTGGTCTAATTCATACTTATGAAGTAACATTCATGTACAATTACCAAGTCTGTTGGCTCATCTTCTTCAACTTCAGCTTCATCATCTTCATCTTCAACTACAGTATCTTCCACAGCTTCCTCATCTTCTGTAGCATCTTGAGCTGCAACTAATAAACCTGATCCTACCAAAATAAAATGCAAACACAAGAAAGACTTTTCAATGTCTAGTTAACCAACAGGAAACTGACACTGTAGTACCATTTTCTAACATTTGAAGAATTTCTTAAAAATGCGTCAAATACAGTTTTGAAGCCTCAGTTGCAAAAACCTCACATTCGAATGAGTGTCTGTGTTGATCTTTCAGTCTTTTTCCTTCTCTAATAACTTTCTGAACCACTGATTTACGTGCCAGTAAGTTCAAACCCAAAAAGTTTACAGCTGGGTAACAAGTAGCTCAGCATTCACACAGTGAATGCTTAAACTCACAAATGGCAACCAACTTGCCTTAAAAGCTATTGTTTAATTTTTCAACATATCAACGTATTACAATACTTTAATTTTGTTTTGTCATTGCAAATGTGAAAATTAAAAGACTCTGCTATTGCCAGGAAAATTAACTTAGTGAGTACTGTTTCTTCTAAGACTAGTAAGTTTAATAAATTATTAGCATGTCTTTTTCATCTGCTGGTATCAGAAGACCATGCTTTCACAGGTAGTGAAAAAGTTATTATTTTTGCACTTCTTTTCAAGTTTTAAAACAAAGTCCTTTTCAGTATGACCTCCTCAATATCATATACTGCTACATCCATATGTTCAACAGAACCAGAACACTAGTCAGTAAGGAAATCTGATCTAGAGCAATGCTCCAAGACAAGTGCAGTCAGACAGTTCATTGCCTCTTTGCTTTTATGGAGCCGAGTCTCACACATTCAAACACTGGGCGCGTATGATTAATACAAACAGTGCCAACAGGACACAGCTCTGTCCACTTGCAGTTTAGAGCACGTGCAGATTAGGTTGAGAACTTTTTAAAAAATATACACAAAACTACAGTGTGGGTTTTTTTTTTTAATAAAGCTAACATTTTCCAAAAATGAATGAGTATAAATGAATGGATGATTGATTTACCCAAGCCTGGAAAAAAAAAAGTCTAATTGCTACGATTAAACATTTTAAACAAATATTTTAGAACTTTGACAGGGAATTAGAACCCTTATGCAGTTTATCGAAGGACTTCAGGATTATCAGTCAGAGCTAGAAAAAGGAAATATCCCCCACCCTTTAAATGTCTTTAGAAGGTACACTCAAAGACTTTAGCTCAACCACGTGCAATACTTAACCTAAGACTAACTACACTGATTTTATTTGCATAAGTTTTCAAACTTCTAAGCCTAGAAATAAAGATTACTTTTTTTTAAATTAAAACCTTTGTATCTGAGCATGCTACGGGTAGGGCATAGCCATTCTTCACTGCGCTGGCACGTTTTCTTAAACCTCTAATTTTCAGTCCTTCCGAGGGGATGCCGGAGGGGCTGATGATGTGGCAATAGCGGGAACGGCGAGCTGCCCGCTCTCCGGGACGGAGGGAGCCCACAGGCACGGCGTGTGCCGCCCAGCCCACGGGAAGAGCCGGCCGAGACGGCTGCCCCTCGGCCTTTGCCAGGCTGCGGAGCGGGGCGGCAATCTCCAGATGGTGAATCAGATAACGCTACAGCGCAATCAGGGATTAGCGCCGGGCGCCCTGAAGGACACTTCGGGGTGTGTGGAAGGAGGGAGGCGAGGCCCGGAGGAGCCCGCACCCCGCGGCGCCCCACAGCCAGGACGCTCTACAGCAGCGGAACCAGACACCGGAGCCCCATCCCGGGCCGAGGAGGGCGGTGCGGGCCCCGGCCCACGTGTGCAGAGCGGCCAGAAGGGCCTCTCCCGACGGCGATGAATGAGCAGCGCCCGCTGCCACCCCCCTTCGCTCGGCGGGAGGGCAGCGCTGGGCTCCCCGGGCACAGCGGGGGCGGCTCACCCCGCCGGCTGGCTGACGGGGGCCCGCTGCCTGCTCCCCTCAGCCGTTACCACCCCCCGCTCCCTCTCCCTCAGGCGGCCAAGGCCTCTCACCTGGGCCGCCGCGGGCGCCCCCGAGCAGCAGAGCAGCGGGGAAGACGAGCAGGGCGAGCAGCAGCAACCGCGACAGGTACCTCATGGCGGCAACCGTAGCAACGACTAACCCGACACACGCACACAACCCCCTCTCTGCTTTGCCACTGCGGGCTGTGCCTAAATGGCGGCGGCCGCCTCCATCCGGGGCTGGGGCCGCTCCCCCCCCCCCCCCCCCCCCCCCCCCCCGCGCCCCCCCCGCCCGGCGGTGACCGTTTCGCTTCCATTTCCGGGAGGGTTGGATCTCCCTGTGGGAAGCGGGGCCTGTGCCTGCCTGGGGCGGCTGTCGGTCCGTCCCGGCCGGTGGACGGGGGTAGGTGTGGGAGGGCAGGGCCGCTTACTCGGCCGGCGTGCGGTCGGCAGGGTGAGGGGCTGTGCCTTCAGCTCCGGCCGCTGGTAGCGCCGGGATCGCCAGTGGTGGTCCTCCTGGTGAGCGTGCTGTGAGGGGAGGCGTAAAATCTAGCGGGCGAGGGTTTATATAGGTTATTATATTATTATATATTATAGAGTAGACTTAACATACGTCTCTAAAAAGCCAGGGAACGTACTTGACTGAAACAAACGCTATAAAAAAACCTCACAATTCTTCATTGCTCTAGAATATCTGGGTTTGAGGTGTAGATTTGATGGCTTAATTGAAAAAGTTTTCCAAAGCGTGACAGGCAATGTATATGAAAGTGATTATATTACCTTTATCTCAGTAGCTTTTCTGGTCAAGAGCAGAAACCTCAGGAAAAATTCCCTCACAGAAAGGGTTATCAAGCATTGGAGCAGGCTGCCCGGGGAAGCAGTGGAGTGTCTCTGGAGGTATTTAAAATATGGGTAGATGTGGTGCTAAGGGATGCGTGGTTTAGTGGTGGACTTGGCAGTGTCATGTTAATGGTTGGCCCCGATGATCTTAAAGGTCCCTTCCATCCTAGGTGATACTATGATAAGTGAAAAATTTAGTATATTAAGATGGAAAGCCTTCCCAAATCCCACAATCAAAGCGCTTGGTGAAAATACCGAGGCCAAGACCAGCCCCCAAGCTTTTTTTCTCCCAATGTTAATTCAGCAATTTGCATGCAAGGTAAAACATGAGTAATATTAAGTCACATTCCATATTTTGTTGTAACTTTGTCATTTGTGCATATTCACCTTGCTGTGATGCCAATGGTAAATAGTCTTGAATCTTTCATTTTCCATATTATTTTCATTCCTTTTATTTTGAACATAAAAATTACAGAAAAAAATTATCAAAACTTACCCTTTTAGCTAAGTTTTATCTTAATCATATTTTTAACATGCTGAAAATGCTACTGAAATGCTGTTCAGTATTGACTGGAGATGAAGCATGATTATGAAAACCGAAGAACATCCATTGCTACTGATAAAAGTAATTCCAGCCAGATAATATCCACCCAATGGTATAACATTACTTTTTTTGCAAAGATCTCTAAATTTGTAATAATCTTTGGCCAAACATGTTTAACTTAACCTAGCCATGGTTTGGTTGTTTTGTGGTTGGTTGGTCTGTTTGGTTGTTTTGGCAAAGCAGCTAAATATTTTTCCTTTGGGGGAAATAGAATACTAGAATCCTGTAGGAGGTGTTTAGCACTGTAGGATCTGAACCATTCTGTGTCGACTTAGCAGTGCTGCTTTTTCCATTTGAGTTAACTGATCCTGATGTTACTAATTAACTAACCTGTGTGGTGCTCTTACTGAGTTTGCATGTGGTGGGGACACCTGAAAGGTGTTAATTGAAAATGTATTTGAAAATAGTTGAGATACTTTGACTAGTCTTAGCAAAACACTGACCCCAGGCTGACCGCAATATTACAGCTCTGCCTGAGAGCCTATTAGGCTGCAGTTCTTTTGTGCTAAGTACTCTCCCCATATTAAACAATTTATAATCTGAAAGGAAAGACTGTATGAATAACTGAAGCAAGCTGCAGAGGTATTTTTTTTCTTGATCTCTGTGTGTATTCAAAATAACTGTTGAAAATAATTGCCATTATTGTAGCTTTTAGATTTGATATCTCTTATATGTGATGCTAATTCTGAGAAGACTGGAGTTCATCAGGAGTTCATGTTGCCCACGGGAACTCTGCATGTGGTCATAGTTATGTACAAGCATTGTATCCTTGCATTTAAAAAAGCTTTTGAATTAGAAATTACAGGTAAAACTCTTATTAGGAAAAAATGTCTTTAGCTTCATAAGATGTATTGCAAAAAGGGTGAGTGTTCTTAATATCTGTGGACTATAAATAAAGTTTACTTCACGTTTCCAGGTTCTCCCAGGTGTGTGTTTGTTTTTCTAAGATAACAGCAAAAGACAAATAGTTGTTTATGTACGTATAGAGAGGCTTCCTATTAGACTTCCTCAGCAGCATCTTCTCAGTGGCCTCTATGAGAGAGGGATTCAGCAAAGTGTTGTTAGGAGCAGTGTCATACATAGAGTCCTAACCTGTTGTTTGCTTCCAGTTTCCCAGTTTTGGATGGTGTACTGGGACATCTCAGGAAAAAGACAGCTGAAATGTAATCTGACTAGGACAGGGGTCTTGTTTGTAATGTAGAGGGAAATTTTGTTAGTAAAATCAGGAGGTTTGCTTTATCACTTTGTGAGTTTTCCTGGAATTCTGCATACTAGAAAAATGTGTATTTTTTTTCTCAGTTGTTTTTCTCTCAACTTTGCTACAGCTGTCTGTACCTTGCAGTGCCACCATGTGCCAAGAACTGCACTTCTTCATGATTCTCTTCATATTCCGGTCAATGCAATGGTTTTGATGAGTTAACCCCCTAATCCAGTGCACACTGAAACGGTGGCTCATTGTTTTTGCTGGGACTGTTCACGAGCTCACAGACAGGACCAGTTTTTCTGCTTTTCAGAAAGTGTGAAAAGCTATAAAATGTTCTTTTAATAGTTGGTGATTTTTTTACCGTTCTATATTTTGTAGTACCTGCTGAAATTCAAAGAGTTAATTCTATAAGAGAATTGTATCAAGTATTATCTCTTCATTACGTGGTTTAGAGAAGTAAATCTTCCAATACGGAATTTGAGGACTTTTCCTATTAATTTCCAGGTTGGATGGATATTAATCCCAGGTTGGATGGGGCTTTGAGCAACCTGGTCTAGTAGGAGGTGATCCTGCCTGTGGCAAGGGGGCTGGAACTAGATGATCTTTAAGGTCCCTTCCAACCTAAACCATTCTGTGATTCTATGATTCTTTACCTATAAGAAGCAAGGATTTTCTTTATTACCTGTTCAGTTTTGCAACTAAAGGCAACCATGTTGCGTTTCATTCTGGTTTTTATTTTGTTGTGACTATATTTTTCATACAATTTATATAAAAATTTAGTGATATCAAATCAATAAATGATCTAAAAAATAAGTGGTAAAATAATGTATCTAACCTTTGTCAGATGCACCAGGAGTGTTATCAAACATTATGGAACGATACACGGATCATGAGCTGGAGGAGATGCTGACTTTTCAGAGGCTGAGATCTTTCAGAGTCACAGGGACTCTTGGCAGAACCTGTTGCTATCACCACCTCACCCAGGTACTGTGGTTCTGTGTCATGGTTGGCAGGACACTTTGTGCTGGGGTCACCCTCAGCTTCTAGCCCATTTTCCCTTGTGGATTAGCCCCATTCCTGCTGCGTGCTCCCCAACAGCTTAGGCTTTCTTGAGCCCTGAACAGAGTACTGTGGGACCTTGTCCCCAGGGTTGCCTGATAGTTCCTAGCAAGTCTCCAGATCATTGCTGAAGACTGCGGCCAGGCTACAGAAGTAGATCACAGCCTTCTGTGTAAAGCAGATTACAGGCTTCTGCATCAGAAGTGACCCCTGCCTCCAGGTGCCTAAACTCTTTAATGGGGAATTGGTGAGGGTATGAGTTTTTATAAATCAGATGTGGCTAACCTGCATCATCTAGCCAACAGTCATCAGCTCAGCAGTAATCTGCTGGCTCTTGGGAGTCTCAGATTCTACCTGGATGTCAGCAACAAGGTGAATAGTGCAGAGGTCTGTCACAGGACCTGTCCAATTTAACATTTTTATCAATGGTTTGGAGGAGGGAAAAGTGCTTATAAGGTTTGCAGATGGTGCCAAATCAGGTGGTGGTAGAGGCCTAGCAAGTACACTTGAGTGTGGGGCTGCCACCCAGGGGGACCTAGGCAAGCTGCAGGAATGAGCCAACAGGAACCTTCTGACATTCAACAGAGTCCTGCACCAGGAAAAGAAAAGAAAAAGAAAAGGAAAAGAAGAAGAAAAGTCAACAGAACAGACTGGAGACTGACTGGCCAGGGAGAAGCTTCTGCTGAGAAGGACCTAGAAGGTCCTTGTAGATGCTAAACTGCTGTGACCGGCAGCATGAAAGGCCAAGAGCATCCTGGGTTATATCAAGAGGAGTACAGCCGGCAGATCAAGGTGAGTGACTGTTGCCTTTCTAATCAGTGTTAGAGTACACCTAGAATACTGTGTCCAGTCTTGAACCTCCCCAGCCCAGGGAAGATACAGACAAAACTGTATCTAGAAGCTTCTGCAAACTTGGAGAAAGATAGGTGTCAAACTTTGCAAAATTTACATTCCAATCTTTTAATTCCTTTTCCCCTTGAAGAAGTGAAAAAAGGTCATAAATTTTTATTCCCTTGTTTATTTGGGATAACAAATTTGCAAAGCATTTGATCACTACTTGAAATTAGATGATTGCATAAATATGTAAGACAAAATTCTGCACTGGGACTCAAACCCAGTAAAGGACTTAAGGAGTGCTATCGCAAGTTGAAAGTTCTTGAAGAGAAACACAAGTTTATATACTTCCCTGGTTCTTAAATTCCTGGTCAAAGCCCTCAGCTTGAGTCTGTGGAAGTTTGCCCTGAGAAGGGAAGGGGGATTGCTGCATGTGGCAACTAGGAACTCTATAGATACTGATGATGCTTACAGTGTTGTATCAGTCTGAATTATACCTTTGCTGTCTGGGATTCTCTGACCTTATCGTATCTCTTTTTCCATCTGGCAGTTTCAGGCTGCAGGAAGCGGTTTTGTTGTTGGTCTTTTACCCTGTCTTGCTGCAGCCTTTGGTTCTCTCTTCTGAACTCACAAATCTGCTGTTGAATTTTCTTTGTTTCAGATCCTGTTTGCAGGATTCAAAGCTGGGCAACCAGCTTATTTTATTTGCATCACAGCTGTTGACTTTTTGCCAACCTGCCATCCATTTCTCCCTGGAATTTTGTTTGCAAGGATAGGAGCTTTTTCCTCCCTTAGTGCATGCAGGGCTGAAGTTACAGTCTTGGCCACGTGTTTTCTGCTTTTTTCTGAGGTGCTGCAGTTCCCATATCTTTCTGTCTGTCTTGTGTGTGGCGAGATCCATCTCCAAGCACTGTCTCCTAAACCTGGTCTTCATTTCTGCCTCATGCTTTCTTTGAAGGAGATAATACCCAGATTTAAGTTTGTCCACATGCTTCAGAAAGGCTTTTTTTTTTTTTTTCCAGTCCCAGCATCCTCAAGGCATTTGATAGCTCTGAATAAAGTTTCCTGCATAATGATCAGTGAACTAGCCTCATTTTTCTCCTTTGTGAATTTGCCTTTTGTTTCATTTTGATCTTCAGTACCCTTCTTTAACTTATTTACAGTTTTTTTCCCAAATGCTGCTGCTGGATGGTTTTTTGTTTTTAACTCTTCAAAATTGCTCTTCAGAGAAATGGTTTTGTAGTAAGAATCAATAAGCTGTGTTGGCTGTTTCTTGTGATGCTACTTCATCCTCTTGGTCACATCATCTGGACCTAAATTCCCTCCATTAAGTAGTAGTTTTCCCCTGTCTTTAACCTTCTCCAAAACCATATCATCCCACTAAAAATCCATGATTTGGGTTTATTCTTGCTGAGCTGCTGTAGCTCCTTGGTGACCCCACTGAAGTTTATAACTGTCTCCCGAAATGGTAATTTTTCCAAGTGGTAATTGGAATATTTTGTTCCACACATATCTGAAGATGCTTCATAAAGATTCACAGGGTTCTGTGGGTGGAGAGAATCCCTTTATTGCTTGTATCTTCTTTCTTCTAATCTTCCTTGGGAGCAAATGATGTCCCAGAATGCTGGACTAAAAAGTCCTCATTCTCTCATTGACTAATTAGAAAAATGACAGGTCACATGGCTTGACAGTAATCTATTCAGAGAAGGTGAAAAGGCAACGGAGTGTAAGTTTGAGTAAGCTTCACCCAGGCTGCTACAGTACTTGGTAGAGTTGTGCCGTTCTATTGCAAAACAGAAGGTGACACACTCTGTTCAATTTATGCAAACTATTTTTTCACTAACTTCAGTGGAAATTTTCCATCTGTGAAGATAAGTCATTGTTGGCCAGCATGATAAAATGATGAAAATGAAGAAGCCCACCCTTCTACAGTGCCTACAGTTCTTGCACCTGCATCAAGCTCCAGAGGGGTGAAAAGTCTCAACAATGTCACTGTCACATTTTGGCTTAACTTACAGCAATCTTTCACTTTAAAGCAAGAATTTAAAAAAAGACCAAGAGATCAAAATTAAACTATTGGCCAATATACTTGATTCTAGAAAATGGAGAAAAAGCAATATTTACATTAAAACAGTAAGAAATACAAGTCTTCCAATGCCAAATTGCTCTTCTGAATTTTGAGAAGGCTGATAAAAGGGAGATTTTACTCATTGAAGAAAAAGGTAGAAGGCAAAAAATGTGTTTGAAATGCTACTGAATTAGTCTGTTGGAAAGAGTGGGACAGTCAGAATATCCTACAATGCTTTGTAATAGGCCATACATATTTTTTTCTGAATTTCCTAGATACTAGAATAAAATTAATAATAAACAGGAGTAGGGTTTGATCCACCATTTAATTTTATTTTTAAATTTTTTTTCTTACACTACCTCTAACTGAAAAAGATAGAAAAGTATAAATAAGAAAAAGCATCTCAGATTCTGGTGGAAACTCTGTCAGTACTTCCCCTTTTGTTGTACTGTATACACTGTTCTTTATACCTTTTTTCACTTCTCTGTTTGACTGTATCAGACCTGGTATATACACTATGTTCTCATGCAAAGAATCAGACTATATACTACCGTTGCGCTCTCTCCAGTTATTTAGAGGCTCTGTCTGTTCTCCAGTGGCTGCCCACCAAAAGTGTGCAATTTGTAACCTGTAATAATCTGTAATTAAAATTTAAAAATTAATTAAAAAATTTAATAATTTGTAACCTGAATGGGAACTTCAATGAAACTGTACTGCCCCCTACATTCATTACTCAGTTAATTCAAAGCACAACTCCACCACCTGCGTTTGATATTTTTAACACTTCTCTTTTATATTATACATCTAGCAGGCCCAGCACTCTCATATAAAATATTGCAATATACGTGTTATTTAAAGCACTACTACTAGCTTTATCAGAGACAGGTATTTTCATCATTCAAGCCTCCATTCAAGCAGTATGAAATCCTAGCGTGGCTTCTTCTGGACTGGAAGTTTTGCTAGCCAAGTTCAAGTTATCTTCTCCAGAAAACACTCAGTACCAAAACAGAATCACAGAATCACATGGGGTTGGAAGCGATCTCTGGACATCATCTAGTCCAACCTCCCTGCCAGAGCAGGCCCACCTACAGCAGGTTGCATAGAAACTTGTCCAGGCGGGTTTTGAATGTCTCCAAAAAAGCAGACTCCACCACCTCCCTGGGCAACCTGTTCCCGGGCTCTGCCACTTTCAAAGTAAAGAAGTTCATCCTCATGTTTAGGTGAAACTTCTTATATTCAAGTTTGTGCCCATTTCCTCTTGTCCTATCCTTGGGCACCACTGAAAAAAGACTGAGCCCATCCTCTCGACACCCATCCTTTAAGTATTTATAAGCATTGATTATATCTCCCCTCAGCCTTCTCTTCTCCAGACTAAAAAGACCCAAGTCCCTCAGTGTCTCCTCATAAGGGAGATGCTCCAGGCCCCCAATCATCTTTGTAGCCCTGCGCTGTACCCTCTCCAGCAGTTGCCTGTCCTTCTTGAACTGGGGAGCCCAGAGAGAGACATGGGGTTGAGTGAGAAAATAAGAAACAACTTTCATGGATGAATCGTTAATAATGCAGTCCAGCAGTGACTCCCCTTTTTCTACAAATGGGTCTTCATGAGGAACTACGAGGTGCTTAACTGATAATTGTTCTGGCAGTGAAACCTCTTGTCTCTCTGATTCCTGCAACTCTTTTTTTAATAGTGTCTTTTCCATCTATGTTTTCTTCTCGCCAGCCCAGCATTCTCCTTTGAGGTATTGGTTCTTCTTTGCCTATGGATTCCTCCTCCGTAAAAAACATGTCCACACCTGAAGACTTCTCCCAGCTGGCTATGCAGAAAGGTGTGTTGCTTCTATGGCAAGTGTTTCTATGACTGAGTGACTCCATTCTTTTTTGAGAAGTATTTTGAAAATTGATACAGAATACTAAAAAAAAATTGAGTTTTTAATAATGGTTTCTAAGAATATTCATGGAAATAATATTATTTTGTTGAGAACAAGTACTTTGGAACTTAACACGATGCATAGATCCTCCTGAGCACGTATCCTTTTTGATCAGGAGCCACTTAGCGAAAACATTCCCTAATTTATCTTTCCTATATATGTGTGCCCCTTCCATTTAAAGAAATGTGTGTATGAAGTCAGAATATAACCTGCAGCGTTGTAATATCAAGCATGCTGCATGAGACATAATCCTGGAATCGCCTAGGCTGGAAGGGATCTTTAAGATAATCAAGTCCAATGGTTAACCTCGCACTGCTAACTCCACCACTAAACCATGTCCCTCAGCACCAGGACTACCCATCTTTTCCATACCTCCAGGGATGGTGATCCCACCGCTTCCCTGGGCAGCCTGTTCGATGCTTGACAGCCCTTTCAGTAAAGGAATTTTTCCGAATATCGGCGTGAGATCTTGGCCTGCCGCTGTGCAAGTCAGGCAAAGGCAGCCAGAGTAAAGGGGCTGCAAAAAGCAGAACAGGATTTCCCTTACTGTCCGGGAGAGCGTGAAAGCTCTTCATTATTGCGTTAGTGGCTTCTTTAGGCGCGGGCGGCGGCTGTCAGCTCCCCGGCCACCAGGTATACCCCGCTCCGCCATTTCAGCCCCCCTCACACTGGAGGCGGGGATAGACCCAACGGTTAAACTGACATCAGGTGCCCGCAGCCAATCCCCGTGCCGGAACCTGAGAAGCGGAGGGGGGCGGGTCCCGCTCACTTTAGCCGTATGGGCCGGCTTCGCCCTCCGCTCTTTTATGTCCCTCTGCCGGCGCCGTAGTGGGCGGCTCAACGCCCGTGTGCCGGCTGGCAGTACCATGGCCGCCACCGCCATGGATTACCGGGCGATAGCCATGAGCCAGGCCGTGCCTGGGCAGTTTGACGATGCGGAGTGCTCCGACGGGTAGGAGAAGGCGACGGGGGGGTCGGGTGCGGGGCTCTCGTGGAGCGCTGTGCCGCCGTGAGGCGAGGCCAGGCGGGCCTGGAGTAGGGGAGGCCCGCCGCGGGTCCCGAGCGGTTCCCGCAGGCCCCGTCGGAGCCGCCCGTGCAGGGGGTGGTTTGGGGGCGTCTGTCCCCAAAAAACGATGAGTGGGGCGGGGAGCGGACCTGCACGCCGCCCGGCAGCGGGGGGACGGCCGCTGGCAAACGGCGGGGAGGGCAGGTGTGCTGCCCGAGCTGGAACAGGGCGTGTGAGGAAAGGCTGTGTGCGCCCCCTCAGCTCTCCTCTGCAGTTACTTCAGTTATTTCTGCCTAGCCACTAAAATGAGCAGACCCACCTGCAGACGCGCGGTAGTGGGGGCAGCTTCACTCTGGTGTTACTTGGTTGTGACTGAACATGTGAAACTGCATGAGAGAATGGTGAGCTGTTTAGGACAGCAAAATAATTTTGATTAATTTTGCAAAACACATTTTCTGTTTGTCTAGAGCTTTTTATATTTAGCGGGGAGTGAATAAGGAATGGTCTTGTGTTATACGTTCAAGCCATTTTCTTTCCAGTTTACCATTCATTTAATTAAATATCAGCTGCTTGAGGAGAATCTGCTTTGGGACATACTTGTTCTGGCAGAAAAACATGACAAGCTACAGACATCAACACATGAGTGAGTCAAAAGGGTTCATTTATCCCACAAATTCTTTTGTAGGCCTGACTTTTTTCATGCAGATCGTGCTGGTCCCCTGAGTTACCAGCTGGCTGGTTGCCTCTGAGCTTTTTTTGTGATGCCTCATCAGGTGGAAATCTGCTGTGGTACTGAGCAGAGTGATTAACCTCTGGTGAAGGAGCCAGCTGGCCTGATCTGGTGTGCTCATCTGATTTGAGTTAGAGGGACCAAATATACATCACTGCAAAACAAGTCAGAAGGCAGCACTGCTGTGGTGAAGAAGTTAACTTAAATGCAGTCCATCCTTTAAAGGCAGTGACATCTTCATATATAGTTGCTTAAAGACAGGTGAAGTGAGAAACATCCCATGGAGAGCTAACCTTGTGAAATCATTTGTTGGGATAAATGTATTGAATTTTTGATGACTGTATCAATCATTTATAGCTATATTAACATCTATGTTTGTTTGAAGTGAGTTTACGCAAGACACAGAAACAGCTAAAGAAGGTGAGGTCACTGAGAACTGCCAGTCATGCGTGTGTGAAGAAGTTAACACTGAGGAAGGAGATGGTGATGACGACAACGATGATGAAGAGGAAGATGAAGACTGGGATTGGGATGATGAGGTGGGAAGACTCACGAAGCGCCACAATGCTGCTGGTGGATGCAATCCACAGGTATGTTGAAGGCTGTTCAGTAAGCATCAAGAGCGCCCAAGGGCAAATGGGGCTAACCTGGAGGCTTTCTTCTTTGTTAGCATTATGTTTAGCAAAAATGGAAACAGAAATGTTTCCTCAAGAGAGTCCTCTTTGAGTCTACTCCTCTGCCATGCCATGTGTGAACATACATTGTAGCCAAAGCTCCTCAATTTCCTTGTCTCTGTTGCTGGATTGTGTGTCACTGCAGTTTCCCTTCTGTTTCTTAGCTCTTTCAACCTTTCTTTTTTTGACCACCCTGATCTCTACTGGTGCTGCTTACCGTTTGGTATTTGTCATGTGTTCTTGAGCATCTTTCCCCTCCTTTCTATTCAGTTTTGAGACCATACCTGCTTGTCACACCCAGGGTGGAACAGGTTATGTTTTGGACTAATAGTGAAGGAGACAAAAGAAAGCATAGGAGATAGAGGGAGAGGTGCTAGAAATGGATTAATTTAAAGTGTATGCTGTTGACATAGAAACTCTGGCATTGTGCAGAATAAAAAGCATGTGAGGCTTGAGAACTAGCATCCTTCTTCCTCTCAGCTTCGACACTGGAAGCTCAAAACCTCTTTTATTTATTGATATCAACATAACAGGTTAGTTGAGATAAATTAGCCATGTTGATCATGGCATATCATGTCTGAGTCACAGCACTTGTCCTGGATGACTTATTTGTACCTTCAGTTAGCAGTTTATGCTGTCCCATGTTGGTGAAATAACGTTCTGATATTGTGTTTGGAGAAGACTACCTGTAAGAAAAGATACCATCTTGGAAAGTTTTATCTGATCATTACTTTCTTATTTTTTCCTCTCATTTTTCTCTTTGTGACTGTCTGCCATTTCCCTTCCTTTTATATGTGGAAAAAGTGTTAACGTGAGAGACTTGCAGCTCAATTCCCAGACTAAAAACAAATGTGATTTGGGGCACTTTTTGGAATTTTAACTGATGTCACTTCTATTTTCTTTTCTTGAATTAAATAAAATCTGGTGTTACACCATATTCCTTTCTGCTTTCCTATTTATAGCTCTAGACATAGACATCTGAGCTGACTTTTCCAATGATATTGCTTGTATTTCAAAGGGCTATTTACAGAAGACAATTTAATTTTAACAAATCCTTTGTTTCAGGCAAACAGACAGACCCCTAGTTGCTATTCAGCAAAAATGTCTACCCCTACAGACAAGGCTTTAAGGAAATTTGAGCATAAAATTAATTTAGGTGAGTATAATTGCATTGTTTTCTTTTATGAAAGCGAATACCACTCTGTGATGTTCTCAGACTAATTCTGCTTACTTAAAGCCAGAACTCACTGGAATGGTAGTTAACCATTGCCAGAGAGATTAAAAAATGGCTTTTTGCATACTCGAAGTTGCCTTTAATCTCCATTAACCAGCTGTCATACCCCTTTCTCTCCCCCTTCAGAGCCACAGGGCTGTTTTGGTGTTGGTAGTTTGGGGTTTTTTTGTTGGGTTTTTTTTTTTCCTTCTTCCCCTTGACTTCTCCAGATCGCATAAAGTATTTCTTAGTAATTCTTCCCTACCTTCTCTGTGGACGCAAGCTGTTTGGCTGGAAGGAGGCTATCAACTTTCTGTTGTGATGTAATTTGTCATTGATTGGAGCCTTTTGACAGGGTAGTTCATAACGAAGCGGTTCTAAAATGAAGGCTCAAACCAGTAACACTGCTATATGTAGCCAAATACAGCAGCTTTTACACCTTTCGCAATTAATCAAACACCATTTTAAATTCATCATGAGGAGAGAATCTTGGACTCTGTTGCGTATTTTCTTCAGAGCATTCAGTTGTGGTAAGAGAATGGTGGACAGATGTAATGGTGAAACGTTATCCAAAAGGCATCACTTCTGGATGGTATTACATCTTCAAGTCTGCCTTACCTGTGTTGGTACCTTATAGACCTTGAAATGTAGAGAGTGGAGAGCTAGGTCAACTCTGGTATGTAGCTCAGCCTCTGGACTTCTTATAAGGAGCTCCACCTGTGTTTGAACATTGTGTTGTGGCATATTGGCTGGCAGCAGAGTTGCAGGGGCAATTCTGAATGTAGGAAACTTCTTTGATTTGGGGAATGTGTTGGGTTTTTCTTCATTTCTTCTTATGTGTTTTTCAGATAAGCTGAATTTTGATGACTCTGTTATAAACCGAGTCACAGAAAAGTCTAGACAGAAGGAAGCAGACATGTGAGTATTACTTCTGGTTCTATTTTCATTTAAATAATTTGAAACCAGAAAATTAGTTCTTATTTCTTAGTGTGATCCTGAGTGTTGAATAAATTTATTAAGAAACCCAAAATTTGTAAATAGTCTGCATGCATTTTGCTTTCTGATCTTAAACTATTTGATTTCCAGGTCAGTTGCTTAAATCATTCCAAAGTTTTGATGCTTCTGTTACTGCTGCTGGTAGCACATCTGAGTGTATTGGTGTAGTAGGACAGAAGCGATGGGTGACATTCCACTAGCAAAAGACTATTTTATCTCTGATACTCTTTTTCTTAAGGATCAGAGATCCTTAAGCGATTGGGCTAGAAAAAAATACTGAAAGCATTTTGAAGGTTCCAATGGATGATTTGGTCATGAGAGGTAGCTTTTTTTTAAAAGCTTTTTTTTTTTCTTAAGCCTTCAGTTTATAACGCTGGGTTATTACGACAGATACCGTTTTCTCCTGAGTGAGCATAATTCAGTGGAGGGAAGAAGATATCTGTAAAAGTGAAGGGCACTTATGTTCATGTGTTTCTTTTTTTTTGTTTCCTTTTAAACCCCCTCTGCCTGCAGGAGAAACCTTTGCTTTTGTATGAAGCAGCCTTACTGCTTGAGGCTGTCATCTTCTCTTTGCTACAGAATGTTATGTTTTACCCTGTCAAAGTACTAAGCCCTTGTGTGGGATTGTATCATTTTATTTTCACTTCTGCTAGGTACCGAGTCAAAGATAAGTCAGACAGAGCAACAGTAGAACAGGTAAGTCCCTAATGTATCAAATTTCTCTTTTGACCAGAGAAAATAATGTGGAATTTTGGAATCAATGATAAAATGCATACTGTAAGAAGAGAGTTTTGCCTTGAAATTCTGTTTCCCTTGTTAGCCTGAAGAGACCTGTTGTATCTTTGTTTGTTTCTTGTATGAAGGTTGTACTTGCTTCCATAAACACTTTGGAGCTCATTTTTGTGCATAGCATTGTCATATGATCATATATATAATGCAGAATTCCATCTTAAGCTTTTATTAAATACCAAAGAACAGTAAAAAAAATGCTAGGTTTGTTTTTTTGCTTTTTTAGTACTTTAGCAAGACTGAACTATTACTGGCCAAAAGCCATATAGCTTCTGTATTTCAGTTATGATAGCTTTATCTTAAAAGAATCCTTATTTTAACACTTTTAATGCAACTGTGGGTGGGGAATCATTATCTTATGTGTCTTCTAGAGCTAGCTCAAGGACATATGCTTAGCTTTAAAAAAAAATAAAATTTCTGTTTGGCTGCTCTTTGGATTATCATTTGATTAGAATAGTATGATGCCACGGGTCCTTTAATATAGGACTAAGAACGGACTGTATTAGTAGGTTTTGTCCTTTTCAAAGAGATCACTTGTGCTGACTTCTCTGTATTACATCTGAGGTGTTGGATCCAAGGACCCGAATGATTCTGTTCAAGATGCTAAGTAGAGGTGTCATTTCAGAAATCAATGGCTGCATCAGCACAGGGAAAGAAGTAAGTTTTACTACAAATGACATGATAATCTTTTTCTTGGCAAGCTAAGTGGCGCTTTGTGGTGCTTAGAAGATGTATTTAAATACTTGGTTTTAGTAGTACTTTTTTTTTGGTGTTGCTTGATTGGTAGGAAGTTATCTTAAGATAGAATGCGTTTTATGTTAAAGGAAACAGGTTTCCTCAAGTGTGAAAGATTTCTCATAATACTTAAATGTTATCTTAAATTTGTGGATCTTGTAAATTGTATGTTACAACTGCAATTTTTGTAAAGGATATATGTACACACAATGTTAAACAATTCCTGAAAAAAAGCCAGGTAGTTCTTTCGTTATCCGAGACTCTTTTCTGCAGATCACACCAGCTTCATATGTCAGCAAACATGGGAGTATCTAAATGATGTAGCAAAATTCTGTTTAAAATAATGTAAACTTTAATTGCTTTACAAAACCAGTATGTTTGTGTGCTGTTATTATCAAGTAATATTGCAGATAATTAAAACCAGACCACAGATTTCCAAGAAAATTAATAAAACAGAATGTCTGGTCCCAAGGCTGATCTAGTTTTATTCCAAGTCGTTGGATGCTGATTAAAGGCATGCTTCTACCCTATGTAGAGGTGTCAACGTGAGATATTTGGGCCATGTTTTAAGGCTAAAATAGTGCACAGGCTCAAATTAACCCTTCACACAAGGGCTTGTTTTAGTCTGCAAAATGTGGATGAGGCAGAGTTTTCCTGTACGCTGTTGTTATTGTTGTCCTATATGCATTGTCACACCCCTGCCCAGTCTTACATCCTTCCTGTAAGCTGCCTCTGGTAGAAAAAAGAGCTTGCACTTCTGTGCAGTCTCACTTAGCTGGATGCCATGTAGGGGCTGGGATGAGAAAGCTTATCAGAGCTTTTTCAGGATGTGAGGAGGAGAAGAGAGAAGGTTATGTTGGTTTAAAGAGTGTTTAATATTATTTCTTCCCTTCGTAATCCTATAGGCTAACGTGTATCATGCCAGTACTTCGAATGGAGAGAACAGAGCAATAAAGATCTACAAAACCTCTATTCTGATGTTTAAAGATCGGGATAAGTACGTGAGTGGTGAATTCAGGTGAGTTTGACTCCTGCCTGGCTTTACTGGGGAAGTGATGTTTTTTGAAAGCTTGTACAATCACCAGTCCTAATACTGTATTGATTGTGGCAACAAAGGGCACGGACTCTGCCGAGTGATGAAGCGAAGACGTTTAATGTTTCATTTTTACAACATATATAGTTTCTCCCTTTTGATCATGCCCTGTTGTCTTTTATTTCTTCATTAAAAGATTTCGTCATGGATATTGCAAAGGGAATCCAAGAAAAATGGTGAAGACATGGGCTGAAAAAGAAATGAGGAATTTAATAAGGTGATTCTCCCAGTTTTTATTTCAGCATGAAAAAGCAACTGAAATTTTTTGGTTTGTAAGAGGCACTCTCCTTTTGCTAGACTGTGGCTATCACTACCTTTTAGGGTCTCTGGAGCATTCAGGAAAGTGTCTTAAGCTTCCCTGTGGGAAAGAAAAGAAAGAGGAAGGAGGAATAAAGAAATTCTTTTTCTTGCTGCTCATGCTCTAAGCTTTCCAGTGTCTGAATGCTCTGTCTGACGTGACTGAAAAGTGAGGAAAAGCTAGAAACAGCTGCTGCTGAGTAACAACACACTGTGTGATATAGGTTAATCTAGGATTAACCTGAACTGTGTAAAAAGCCTTTGTCTGACACAGGAATGCTGAGAGAAGGGTCAAAGTCAGAATGGTTGCAGCTTTTTTGTATTAATTTCCTAGTTGCTCTTCAAGAATGAGTTTCCTGAGTAAAGGAGCTCTTGTTGTGTATTATGTTTGAAGTGACAGAGCTCCTGCAGGCACTAGTGCAATGCAAATAGTAGAGTTTGTGTTTATTTTGGGGGGTTTTGTTCCTGTGTTACAGGTTGAATACAGCTCAGATACCTTGCCCAGAGCCGGTTATGCTAAGAAGTCATGTGCTTCTCATGGGCTTTATTGGTAAAGGTGATAGGTAAGTACCTTTAGATTTTACTTTTTTTTTTAATTAGCGAAATATTTTATTATAAACAATCAAATCAACCCTCTGAATTTACTTATTATTACCTTGGGCCTGTAAAATGTTACTCTTAGATGTGCATGTGACCTGTAGAATACCCAGACATTTGCCAGCTACTTCTGCAGACGATCTGAATGATTCTGAAGTCTCGGTTGTGTGCAAAGTAAATTTGTAGAGGCTTAACCAGAGATGAAGGTTCAAACATTAATGTAGCATGATCCAAATTTGCTCATGTTGGAAGCAGAGCTCCATAAGTGTGGAGCTTGGCAAGCATATACCAAGCTTTGCTGCATTTAGCTGCTCATGCTGACTTGCTTGACACCGTGAGTGGAAGGATCAGGTACTGCAGTTGAAGCATTTACAGCTGGCATGAAGAAGGGAAATGTATTCACTTCCTGTTATTTGTGTTGTAATTTCAAGGCCTGCTCCTCTGCTGAAGAATGCCCAGTTATCTGACTCCAAGGTCCGGGAGCTGTACCTGCAAATCATCCAGTACATGAGAAGAATGTACCAAGATGCTAGACTTGTTCACGCAGATCTCAGTGAATTTAATATGCTGTATGTTTTCAAACTTTGCTCTGAATTGTGACATCTAAAATGTATGCATTGGCAACTTCTATGTGAGAGTACTAATCTACCCTTAGGGGAGGGTGGGATCCTTTTTGCGACTCAGTTTTTTAAGTTACGTAACTATGTAGGTTTTAACCCAGATTTGAGCTTTCTCTTGTTTAAAAAAAAAAAACACCAAAAAAGCCAAAAAAAAAAAACAACCAAAAAAACCCCACAAAAAAAGCCCTTCACAAACAAACAAAGACCCCTCAACTACAGAAAAAATTATTAAGTTATCTTTTTTCTTTTCTTTTTTCCATCCTCCCAACTGTAACACTGCTTTTTATGTTCACAAGCAGACTATTTCTTTAAAGTTTAATAATACAGCCTGTGTAGAGGAGGGGAAGGATTAACCCAAAAAAGCCATTCTGGCCCTAATATGTGTGGTGTGTGCTAGAGAAATATGTTAAGATTGTTTGCTAGGCCTTAAGTTTGAAGTGCACTCTGTTCCTGGCCCCTCAATCTCCCTTGTAACGTGGATGGGGTTAGTGCAGCTCTGTCTGTTTGCAGGTACCACAGCGGGGACGTGTACATCATTGATGTGTCTCAGGCTGTGGAGCACGACCACCCACATGCACTGGAGTTCCTGCGAAAGGATTGTGCCAACGTTAACGGTGAGTGGGCTGCACTTCAACTCTTGTTCTGATAGCCGATTTGTTCAGGAAGGTAAACTGTGTTCACCTGTGTTCTTTAAAGTATAGGTGTCACACTGGAGGAGCTTTCAAATGCCTGTTAAAATGCTCCCTCTTCTAGATTTTCATGGCTTCCTCAGGGAGCTGTGCACTGTGCTGAATTCAGAAGTGTGTAGCCTGTCTTGCTAGAAATCACAGATATATGATAGATCTGAGATCAGTCCCAGTCTGCAGCAGTGCCCACCCCAGTCTTAACTTCCCTTACTTAAAGGACTGTGCAGACAAACTGGTATGTTTCCTTCTGTGAGTGGAATCCACATCTGGAATTCCTCAGCTGCCAAGAAGTTACTGTGTGTTATGAAGTTCCCTGCACTTGCTTGTCCAGATCAGCTGAGAGCATAGAATAATTTATTAGAGATGTTATCACTTGCCATAGTATTTTGATAAATGAGGTACTTACCCATGGTATTTTTCTCTGGAAAATTTGGGCTTCATGTGTGAGCGTGCATGTTACAAAACAGACACCTCCTGATAGGCTGTTTCTCTCTGAGGACAAGAAATCTGTCACGGCAGGCTGCTTTTCTTCCCCCTTTCTTTTCAGATTTGACTTTTTTCTAATTTTTACAGAGACTATAAAAGTCTATAGAAAGGAATTCTGTGCATTTTGATGTTTTGTTTGTTGATAGCATACCCAGTATGCAAGTTCTCCTTATTCCTTTTCTGTTCACGGATTTCAGTAACTCCTTTCTGGCTGAGAAACTTGCACCCTTCCTCTTTTTTCATGTCTTTTGCCTTGCTCTCACTAGATATTCTAGTGCCTCAGTGAGTTGCAGTGGTTTTAGTGTGGTGTTTTTGTTTTGTTTCTGTCACTTTCTCCATGTAGTCCTACAGAGACTCTGAGGAAAATCTTGCTTTATGCCCTGCCCTAGCTGTGAGCATTGCAAAGACTTGTGGTTCCATAGGTGCAGAGAGCTGCCTCTGAACTACATCTTTTTTTCTACTATTAATTTCTCATGGTGAGAGATCCTCTGATAATTTTAGTAGGAAATAATTAATAAGCAGTCCTCAGTGTCTTTCACTGCTGTCTTTTGGTACAGAAATGCAGTATCTGAATTTGTTTATATTTGACTAAGAAAACAATTCTGAGTGTAGTACTGAGGAAAATTCCAATATGTTAATGTGTCTTCCCTCTTAGCTGGATCATAATTAGACTGCACTGTGTTTCTCTTTGGCAGAAGTTTGAGGTTTACATTCCTTATTCTTTGAAATACATCTTTTGCCGTTGATTTGGCTTTTATACTTTTCCAGTTATTCTCCATTCAGTATTTGTTGCATCTGGAAGATCAACAGTTTTATTTCAGACGGCTAAGAGTTATCTCATAACTATATCCAGCATGATGGAATACGTACTGAGACTTTTTCCAAGTCATCAGGGCCATTAGCTTGCTTTGACTGTCACTTCAGCATCACAGCTGCATATGTTACATGTAATTACTTACGGTTTTTGTCTCTGCCCTTGTTTTCTGGTAGACTTTTTTCAGAAGCGCAATGTTGCAGTGATGACTGTGAGAGAGCTGTTTGAGTTTATTACTGATCCTTCCATCACAAGTGAGAACATTGATGACTATCTGTCTAAGGTAGGACTTCCTGGCCTTGTTGCTTATGTAAGATGACTTGAACAATAAAATCAGATGTAGTTCAGTCTCCTTTCTACATCCTTCTGTTGAAGGAAGCTGGTACATGACATTGTTATGCTAGTGCTGCAAAAATGCATACAAGTCTTTCCCACTTATACCATTATAGGATGACAACACTTTCTATGTTTTCTCAAAAAGTCTAATAATGAAAACTCAATTGTCTGTTCAGGTGCTATTAAAAGCAGGATACATTAAATTAGTTTGTTCTTTTTGTGAAAGAGAAGTTCTCCAGAAAGATAATCATGCTTATGTAGAGAATGGGGTTAGGAGTGCAGACTTGAGCAGGGTAGGCTGAGGGAGGGAGGGTATGACTCAGGGCAGTGTTACTCCAGGGTACGTGGTCTTGCTAGCCAAATAGGGCAGCTGGCAGAGCATGTTGATTCTAGGAGGAGGTAAATTTACTCCATGCTGCTAGCAGCACCCATGTGTTTCATCTCTAGCTGCCAGTCCTTTGCTCCCTGTTAGATATTTCTTTAAAAAGCAGGGGAGGGGGAAGCTTTTTAAGTTAATGCAAGAGAAGTGGGGGCCACATGTGCCATGCTTAGAGTGGAGATTTGATATGTCATTCCTGGCCAAGACCACAAGGCAGAGACTGAGTGTGGTCCAGAAACCGGTGCAGCGTGGGGATTTCCAGATGATGTGTACTTTCTGTCATATTGGGGGTTGAAGGAGACAGAGCTGTGCTGTGCGGTTCCCCTTACTTCTGCTCCCTGGCTTGCTCATTGTGCATGAGAAGAGCCAAGTTCCAAGACTGAGCACTGCTCACGGTAATCTCCTTGCGCTGTTATCTCCTGTGGTCATGCTGGGCCTGCTAGAGTTTGGTCTGGAAGCAGCAGTGAGCATCTTTTTTTCCTCCTACTAATAAAGCAGTTATAAGTGCAATTCACAGAGATGTTGGTTACCATTAGGTGTCGCTCAAGGCATTGCCATAGGGAAAGCTGGAGTATTTATTGAGTGACAGCGTGGAGCACAGGGAGAAACACAGATGGGAATGGTTAGTTGGATTCAGTGATGCGATTGTAAAGAGTGATAACTTTGTATTGTTTTATATTTCTTTAGGCAATGGAAATAGCATCAAAAAGAACAGAGGAAGAAAGATCCAGTCAAGATAAAGTGGATGAGGAAGTAAGTGAGGATTTTTCTTCCTTGTATGAAATTAATATTAGCCTTGCCTCTTCTAAACAATGAAAAACATTGTTTTATTTAGCACAGTTGATAAACAAAGCATTGTTTGCGACACTGAGATGTCTTGAGCGAGTTGAGTTGTGAAGTATTAAGGAATGCCATATGTAAAAACTGACAGTGATAAGGTGTTAGAAGGCAAATACTCCACTTCCTAAAACAATGTTTGTCTGTAGCTAGGTCCCATGATGTATCTTCCAGTTTAGGTTCAGTTTAAAAACAAACCAAAAAAAAACCCAAACAACCAAAAACTGAGTGGAGAGATCTGGTTATGCCAGTGTTTTTTGGCTTACTGATACAGAAGCAGGATATCTGAATATGAACATTGACCAAATTGCCTCTAGTCAAGTCTAATTCAGTTCTTCTACTTACTGTTTCTCTCCTTTGCTTTTACATTAAGCAAAGCCATTCCAAGTCCATTATAGAAAACTTCTAAAGTTCTGGAAAGGCTTGATGTAAAGATAAAACAATTTCCATCTTAGTCTTATCTCACTGTTCCAGAAGAGTTAAAACAAACCAAGAAACCCAACTCTCTGTTGAGCAGGATTTGTATCAGTGAGAACCTATTTGTACCATTTCATGTGGTCTTTATCTCTGGAGTCAATATTACTTGATTTATCAAAGGCTTTTCTTTTTCTCTTGGAGCTCTGTAGGTTTTACTAACTGCTTCTGGCTCAAGCTTGGCCAAGGAAATTTTTGTTTGTTTGTTCCCTAAGATATCCTCAACATACAAATTCTGAACTATAGGGTCAGATGCTAGTGTTTTGTTTCAAGTCCATCTCTTGCAAACCAATTATTCCTCTGCTTTATATAGGTGAGATGGTTTAGAAGCATCTACATTCAGTTTATTTCTCTTTGACTTTTCATGTGACCATGGTCAGTTTGTGTCACTTTCTTCACAAGAGAGTAGAGCAAGCCCTGTGGAGGTGGGGCATCTGCTCTTTGCATAGGACTTAGTCTAGCAGTTATGATCCTAAAGTCTGCTGAATTTGTACTGAGATTGAACTGATACCATGGAAAAGAGAAGCAAAATACTGCTCTCTGATCTGGTAGTGACTTGAGTGTTCAAAAAGACAGCATGACAAATTTTAAGTATGTTGTTGATACTGCAGTTAGGTTTTACTGTGCTATACTGCTGCAGGAACCTTTTTTGAGTTGGACTGTAGGATGAAGCAGGTGGTATTATATACAGAGGTCAAAATCTAACAGTGCATTTTAGTGGAGTTACTTCCTGAAGGCATTGTAAACATCACAATGAAAACATTAGAGAAAATACTTAGAATACAAAACCTTAGGACTTAAATCAGCTAAGAGGAGGTTGGAAGGGTTTGAGAAGTTTGTAAATGGCCTGGTGGTCAGTCATTCTGGGCAAGGAGCCTTGTTACTGATGAGTAAAGTCTGCTCCTGAAAAAATAGATACTCTGCGGTGCAGGTAGTGGGTGACTGCCATGTTCATTTTTAGTTTCTGTGAACCATGAAATTCTTCATGATTATTCTCCTAAGGATGCATAATTAGGAAGGAAGAACATCATGAAACTATATGTAAATTAATAAATCTGTTTTGTTTCACTTTACTAGGTGTTTAAGAAGGCTTACATACCTCGAACTTTGACTGAAGTCAAAAACTACGAGAGAGATGTGGATATAATGATGAAATTGAAAGAAGAGGATATGGCATTGAATGTTCAGCAAGATAATGTGAGTGGGCATGCTGAGGCATGCAGAAAGGAGGGAGGGAATATGAATGCTTCTTACTGGAAACTGATAGCAACAAACAAAAACAGAAGCCTTTTTACCAAGGTGTGGAGTACTGAATCTAGCATCATACTTTAAATCGTCTTATTAGTAATAATGCTAATGTTGTGGGGGTTTTACTGGTTTTGAGAGAGTAATTTTCTCTGGGCATGAAGATTTAAGACTCATATTTTGATAACATAGTTTTCTTTTTCTCTCACTGGGTATAGATTCTCTACCAGACTGTGACAGGACTGAAGAAGGATTTGTCTGGTGTTCAGAAGGTGAGATGGTCTTTTTGAAAACCTACATTTTAGCCATTTTCAGAAAAGTGCTTACAAGAAGTACAGAGATTGCCTCGTCTTGTGGCTGACACTGTAAAAGAAGCATCTTGTCTGCAGAGTGACCATTTATATCTGGGATGGGTCTGCATGGCAGTGTGTCTGCACACCGCATGAATCGCTTCCCTGCGCTGTGGCTGATGCTGGGTTGCTTGAGGGTGAAATGATCATCCTTGCTATGGCCATGACCTCTGAAGTTAAGGTGGAGAGGAGGGAAGATGCTTTCCATTTATGGAAGATGTATTTGATTTAAACTGTAGCCTGACTACAAGTTTTGATATGTTCAGGGTAACTTTGCTCTAATTAATGTGTAAAGAACAACCTTGTGGTATGAAGCATAAGATATTATGTCTTGCTGTATTTGAAGTACTTAACAGTGACACTTTGTAGAGTACATTGGGTAAGAAGTTGGGTACAGAACGGTCTGTACCAATGTAATTCAAGGGAGAAGCCCTATTCCTCCTCCTTCCTTTGTAAATGTTATTGAGCAGTGGTGTAGGCTGTTTTAAAATGGAAATATGAATATGGATGGGATCAGGCTGTGGCACAGTCGCCAGGCTTGTTTAAGAATAAGTGAGTTTTCTAGTGTAGATATTTGTGTTAGCAATAAAGCCTACATACAGGGCCCCTAAGGTAGATTTGGGTATGATCCAAGTATAATTAAAAATTGGCTTCCACATATGTTAGCAAATAGCTGTTTGACTTATGGAAATTAGTCTGGGAATGCCAATACAGCTGTGCTGTGAGACCTGACCTAAGAGATTCTGCATTGTACGTTCTAGATTCTTTGTTCTTAGTTTGAATCAACATACTTCTTATTCTTTTTCTTGAGACTCGATGGCTGCAGTAAAGGAGATGGCATAAGCTCACTCAAGAATTTATTTGCAGCACATTCTGTTTTAGTGTTTACGTATTTATATATGTGTGTTTATATTGTCATTAGGCTTCTTTGTTTTGGTGTGATTATAATTCTGTCTTGATATATCTTGCAGATTCCTGCACTTCTTGAAAAGGCGGCAGATGAGTCAGAAACAGACTCTGATGAGGATGATGGCAGCTCAGAGGACTCTGATTCGGGCTGTAAAGAATCTGTACATCCCAAAGATAAACCTGCTGAAGTTAGTGTGGACAAAAAGGTCAGCTGGCCAGGAATTGTTTATTTTTCCCACCTCTGCCTATGTGACAGGAAAAGATCCTAATTTACTTCTGAGTGGTTCTTGCTGCTACTTGTCTGAAACAAGCTATGGACTTTTCCTGTTGTGGAGAATAAGAGCAGAGAAAGTGAATTTCATCACAGATGCTTTATTGATGGTGATCTTACATAGACACACACGTAACATAGCTCTCTGTAGCCTTGACAAAGCTAGAAGAGAGGTCTCTGCAGGGAATTCTAAGACTACACAGAGCAGAATTTAGCAAAGCCTGGGCAGCTCTTCAGTGCCTCTGGCTGCTCTTCCAGGCTTTGGTGTACAGGTTTGTGGTCGTGGTCCCTGATTAACCTCCTTTTGCCCAGGGAACTGAGACACTTGATCTATACAACTGGAGGCTTGGTGACCATATTTGTACCACAGTACTATTAGTACAGACTGGCTAGCTTTGCTGTGGGCTAGAGATGTAACACAGTCATTCAAAAGGATTATGGTTTGGGTTGGTTTTGGTTTGTTTTTTTTTTTTCCAAAGGTTTCATTTTCCAAACTGCAGAACAAGTATTCTCTGTTCTGGTGAGGCTCTTCTGTAGAGTATTATCCGTGGGTGAGAGCCTTTTGGTAGCCTTCTAGGTGCTGTGCAAGAGACAGATAATACTTGTTGGACTTCTGGGGTTCAAGGTTTCGGGGTTTGCTTTTTAGGTGTTTCCTCCTAGAAAAGGTAAGATAATAAATTCCATATCTATCAAATAAAAATGCAATACTATGCTAGACGCTTTCTACTAATCTAGAGCCTTTTAGATGTGAAGCAAGGACATGGTGATCACTTCTCGTTCTTATAGATGGGTTCTCATTTGGACAACTTTTTGTGAGAGTAAAATGAGGTTTTTAGTAACCTATGTGTTCAGCTGTAGGTTGAACAACTGATTAGCAGCAATTACTTCCACCCCCTACTGCTGACTTTGCTTTTTCCAGTTGAGTGTAGTCTCTTCACTTTGTCTGGCACAAATTGCTATGCTACTGCAACGGACTACACCCTTTCTTGCCAATCCTGGTGATGATCAGCTTGTTCTGAATTACCAGCAGTTACTGGATCAGTACTTTTGCATGACATAAAAACACTTATTGCAGTAGCCTTATGGGTAGCAGAAAACCTTGATCCAGGTATCCTGTTGTAACCTCAGGTGTAAATAGCATGAGTTAAAAGTGCCTCTTTCTTCAAAGGTTGCACGACACTCTGGTTTTAACCAGTTTGAATTGTGCTTTGTCATTATCAGTGTGCAGTTCTTAGCTCCACCTCCAACCTATACTTCCTTTTATCTTTCCCCTCCCCATTCCTATTGTTTTTTTTTATTATTTCTTCCTCTTGATAACCTTGTTTTTATGTACTGTGTTAACTTGGTAATGCAACAACTGATTGACCTGCTCAAAATCTCTCATTCCTTCTGGGTTTAAATGAATGGTGTTTGGCTTTTTTCTTTAGGAAAGGAAAAAGATGGTTAAAGAAGCTCAAAGAGAGAAAAGAAAAAACAAAATCCCAAAGCACGTGAAGAAGCGGAAAGAAAAGACTGCAAAAATGAAGAAAGGCAAATAAAACCAGCTTTGGCTTGGGGAAAGGGATAGTTTGTTGTGGGTTATTTAGTCACTATATTTTCTTCTTTTAATTAAAAATCCTTTATTTATATACATACAATATTAATTTGGAGGGTGATTTTGTTAATGACACAGTGAAATTGTTTGAACAGAGTATACAGCGTGGGTTTCTCAATAGGAAAGGAGTTTAGCACACTTGTGAATTATAAAATCTTGTACCTGATGGGTTGCAGGTTCAACTTGTTAAACTCACATTGATTTGTTCCTGGGGTCTTAGTCCCCTGCCTCACGCTGCATACGAGCTACTGTGGTTGCTCCAGATGAGGCAGGGGCAGGAATGCTGAAGACGAGGAAACTCTCAAGCTGCAAATGCTCATGCCCTCTTCACAGCGTGGAAGTAAATTGAGCTCGCGGTCCTCTGCAGGATGTCATGGTCACCCATGGTGACCCTGCAGGCATTGTGTCTTTGCTGTCTCCCTGTGCTTGCATCACTTGATATTTTCTTACTGAAAGCTGAATTTTTTGTTTTGGGAAGCAGCTGTCCTCATTGCCGAGTGCCCTTCTGAAGCTATCAGGCAGGTGCATGCAAACAGACCAAAGCCTGAATGTTATTTTTTTTTTTTATAATTCTTTTTTGTTGTTTGGATCCCAGCTGAGTTGCTCTTAGGACTGTTATGAACCAGCTTTTTTGTAATCTTGTCCAATGAGTATTTGCTGTCAAGATTAATAACGCTCAAATTCCAAGTGCTGGGTAAAGGCTGGTGGCAGGAGCTCTGGGGTATGGTTCAGCATTACCAGTCTATGTTGTGCTAAGGTGCCCCAGCTCTTCATTAAGGAGAAGCTGCCAGAGCTCTGCTCATGAGTGACCCATTTGGGCTGAGGCAAAGACGCCGTACTGAAGAGAGACCACCTTTTCTCTCAGCAGCTGCTTTGGCCCACTGAGGCTGACAAGTCTTGGATGAGGTGTCCTCCTTGTGCTGTAGCACATTAGCTGTCTTCTCACTGCCTGCAGTTCCAGGACTCGCCGTACCAGCTCAGAGGAAGGTTCTGATTCCAGTAAATATCTTGATATGTTTTCCCACATTAGAGTTGATGCCCTTGGGATTTACGCTTACAGGACGCACATCCTCTGATGATAGAGGACAACCAGTGGGTATCCAGCAATGATGGGTTGGCCAGGGGTAGGGTGAGGTTTTCTCTCTGCTCTTCACCTCCCACACCCAGAGACTGTGGGATGATCATAGGCAGCCACCCTGGCAAGGACAAGTGATGTTGGCCAACTGCATGTGTGGTTTGTCCACTCAGGAGTGTATTCCTCAAGGAAATGTGGTCTGGCTGCACCTGCCGGTCTGACCTTCACAACCTCTTTGGCACATTTAGCTAGAAATCTGGTAAGAGGAATTGGTCAGTGCTTCCAGATCTCTCTCTGTGCTCCCTTTCTCTGTGTCCATACAGGGATTGACAGCACTCATGTACAGTGTGCATACAAGTGTAGACTGTTGCTAGATCATGTTGGGAAGCAAGACTGGTATTTCCTTGGCAAGTGGGGATTTTTGTTGGGAGACATGAAACACCTGAATTTTGGAAAATGGCACTGCATCAGGTGCAGCCTTTAACTTGGTAGTGAAGGGAAGAGGAGGTGCAAGACCTACATCCAGAGGTGAGGGACTACTGTTGATGGTTCATTGTATAACACCAAGGCCTGAAGCACTGCTAGATGAATAGACACATTTCCTGCTTTTCCATGCCATCACGGGAGCTTGTATAGTGACATAATCAGGCAGAGGTGACCTTGGTGGTGGCCGCTATGAACCTGACTGGTTGTATTCATAGATGCAGAGCTGAAGGTGACTGAAACAATAGTGGCTTTGTGCACCCACTTTGGCCTTGAATCCCATTGTACTGGTGGTGCTTCCCTGCTGACTGACAAGGCTATGGTGTACACATCTGCAGTTACGGTTGTGGTTCGTGAAGGTGTGTGCACCAGGAAGTGTGTGTAGGGACACGGGGTGGTGGTGGTAGACTCCAACTGAGCTGTTGCCTTCCTCCAGCAACGGTTTATGTAGCGGGCAGATCTTGGTACTTTTGGTGAAAATCACTCTGAGAAGCTGTGTGTGCTTTGACTTCGTGTAGCTCGGCAGTGGATGACTCCACCAGGAAACTGGTCTGTGGCTGATCAGTGGGAGTCGGGGGTTGTTAAACGCAAGACACAACCTTCTTTTCGTTGGGGCTGGGTGCTGTGAAGAAAAGGACAGATGTTAGTACTTGGCAAACAGCCTGGAAGCCCCGGAGATGCAGAGAGTGTGTCCTACTGGATGGATTTTACCTCCTTTACCTGAGGAGACACTTCAGAGAAAGGAGGCCGCTATCACCTTTGCTTGAGGGAAAAGGAAACATCCCAGCCTGTATAACCGTGTCTTCCTCCAGGCCGTGCACCACTGCCTGATCGAGTTTGCCTGGCTCTAGCCATCCTGGAGCAGGAAGATGGTCCCAAATCAGTCATTTTGGGTTGGAGCCTTGCTCCCAGTGATGTGCAGCAGGACTGTCTGTGCAAAGCATGAGCTGTCTGCCTCGGGTATTTTCTCTAGGGCATGTTTACGTTGGGTGTTTGCAGAGCACCTGAGGTGAAGCATGCCAGAAAAACCTGTGCTGTGCAAGTGCAGGTGGCCTGGGGGTAGCTCTTGCCACTGGGTATGTGCTTGTCCAGGTGAGCTGTGAGTGCAGGTCACCAGTCCTGGCCATTGCAGGCTTGACACGTACAGTAGTGAAGCAGTCTGCAGGAACAGGGTAGACTGGGAGCTCTTTGGGTTGGGACCATGAGATGGGTCATCTTTCTGGTGATCTGAAGCAGGAGAATGGCCATTAAGAAACGTTAGACCTAACTACCAAAAGGCATCAGTCTGATAGGGGGTGGGGATGGCACGGGATGGCATGACTTCGTATCTTTTGCTAAAGAAAAGCTTCAAAATTCAAAGTAGCACAGATACTCAGTTATGCTTTATTGATATCAATGTATGATGAGGTAGGTTTGATTTTTTGGTTGTTTTTTTTTTTTTTTCCTTCCAGAGATTAGGATCAGATAAGGCTCACTCACTTTGTTTGCTGTAGCAGCATGTTTATGGAGTGCCCTGCTGCTGGCACCTGTGCAGACAGAGTAGCATTGCCAGGGCAGGAAAGCCAGTACCTTGTGTAAGAAGAACTGGGACATCAAACAGCTCAAGGTAAAGCTTCCCCTTTATCTTCCATACTCTCCCTGCCCCCAAGGTTGCATTTAGTGGAAGGGCTCTGGAATCTCTTGTGGGCTACTGCAAGTCTTTCCATCGTGGAGCTCACCTGATGGCACCCAGCACAAGTGACCAGACCCTAGAGAGGTGGGCTGTGGCTCCTGGAGATGACCCTGACCAGTTACTGCAGCAGTGAGGCTGAATTGTGGGAGTGTGATACCTACCCCTAAGATTGAAAAGTCCCTTCTGTTGACTGCAGACATGTTCCTCCACTGCTGCCTGGGTGTTCCAGATTATTACTATATTTTTCCCCCCTTTTGAACGAGAACATCTGTACTGAGGTCATGGCATAAACTTGATTGCTTTGTCACTCTGGCTTTGGGAATGTTTCTGCAACCAAGGCTTTTTATATTCTCTGACAGGTTTTTCAAAGCATGAATGTTTTGTTATCTGTCTTCTCTGAAAATGGGTCAGAGTCCAATTCTGTCTGGTAATCAGTATGAATTTTTACAGCTGCAAAAGCACAATTAACTGTCAACTGCTTGAATACTCCTTTCCAACTAAAGTAGAAACACTAAACATCTAACAGACCAGTTGTAAAATGAAATAGGTAACATTTTCAATGGGAAAAACAATGTATTATTTTAACTTAAGGAGCATATAGGTTTCAGGCTGAAGACAAAATGTGTTTTGTTTGACCAAATCTTAAGACTGGTGTTAAGGTCTAGTCAGAATATGGACCCACAAAGTGTGCTTTTGCCCCCTGGCCTGATGCTTCGTATGGAGAGCCACCACGCAGGGGAGGTTCTGCGGTGTCACCCTCGATGGTCTGAGATCAGTGGCTCAACCTTTAGGTGTCGTCAGGCGGGATGGGGAGCACCATCCTGCTGCTGTGTAAAGCCTCCATCCTCCTGTGTGTGGGGTGCTGCCTGCAGCCCCCCAGGGAATGGGGCAGCTTGTGAGGAGAGATGGGAAAGGCTGAGCAAGACACCTCTGTTTGGAGAAGAGAAAGCAAAGCGGTGAGATGAAAGAGGCTTAAGAAATGACAAAAACAGCAGACAAAGTGAATGCAGAAATGCCCTTCAGCAAACCCTGCAAGTAGTGGAGGATGGAGTTGAAACAGGCAGGAGAAGGCACTTTACACGGAGGGCAGGCTGTTGGTGGGTTGTAGCAAGAGTGGTGCTTGTGGTGGTTGCATCAGTGCAGGTAAGCGCAGGCTGAAAATTAGCCTAATTAGCCTAATCTGAGATGCTGTTAAATTTTTAAATTATTATTATTATTTTTTAGAACAGGCTGACCATATGTAATACATCAAATTCTCAAGCCCAGGTCAGGTGCTTGGAAAAATGCACTTCTGGGAATTTTCAGCCAATAGATCTAGTGATATTTGAAAGCTGAAGTATTTGGTGTGGAAATATTTACAACTCTGCTATCAGAGACAAAATGTACAAAATGAGTTAATCCTATCTTCCAGGGCATTCCCCAGTAGTCCCATCTTCCCAGTCGTTCACGGGGACTGAAGTGGAACAGGAGGAGGGCTGGGAGGGAGATACTCCTAGCTAAGATAAGTTCCAAAACATCAGTGAGGTTTTGGAGTTTTGGGGGATTTTTTTTTTCCTCTCCTTCATCTCCTTGAAGTCCCACAGTGCCATACGGTGGGTTTGCACTCTGAGAAGCTGGCATCAGGCTTTGTTGTGAGGTTTGTGCCAGGTTGGTTGTTTCTCCCATGCTATAGATTTTGTTATACGTAGCAAGAGAAGCATTGGAAGGTGGAGGTTTGTGGATTTGGTTTCCCCGTGATGAAGCCAGTAAAACCAGCTTTGCATGTAAGGGTATGTCTCCTTACAGGGTTTTCATTTCAGTGCTGAAATATTTT